GACACGATATTCACGACATAATCTCGCCATGATCAACGGCGAAGTTATGTCGCTTTGAAACGTCATATCTCCGCCGCTCTAAAAAAATCTTGGAGATATGACGTTTCAAAGCGACATAACTTCGCCGTTGATCTTGGGGGTTTCTATGGACCTCCCCGAGTAGCCCTTCCATTTTTGACCGTAATCGGGCTTTGTTTGGCCGAGATATGACCATTTAAAATTTTCCAAAAACGTTCGTGTAGTTGTGGACACGACATTCACGACATAATCTTGCCATGATCAACGGCGAAGTTATGTCGCTTTGAAACGTCATATCTCCGCCGCTCTAAAAAAATCTTGGAGATATGACGTTTCAAAGCGACATAACTTCGCCGTTGATCTTGGCGGTTTCTATGGACCTCCCCGAGTAGCACTTCCATTTTTGACCGTAATCGGGCTTTATTTGGCCGAGATATGACCATTTAAAGTTTTCCAAAAAAGTTCGTGTAGTTGTGGACACGATATTCACGACATAATCTCGCCATGATCAACGGCGAAGTTATGTCGCTTTGAAACGTCATATCTCCGCCGCTCTCAAAAAAATCTTGGCGGTTTCTATGGACCTCCCCGAGTAGCCCTTCCCTTATTGACCGTAATCGGGCTTTATTTGGCCGAGATATGACCATTTAAAGTTTTCCAAAAAAGTTCGTGTAGTTGTGGACACGATATTCACGACATAATCTCGCCATGATCAACGGCGAAGTTATGTCGCTTTGAAACGTCATATCTCCGCCGCTCTCAAAAAAATCTTGGCGGTTTCTATGGACCTCCCCGAGTAGCCCTTCCCTTATTGACCGTAATCGGGCTTTATTTGGCCGAGATATGACCATTTAAAGTTTTCCAAAAAAGTTCGTGTAGTTGTGGACACGATATTCACGACATAATCTCGCCATGATCAACGGCGAAGTTATGTCGCTTTGAAACGTCATATCTCCGCCGCTCTAAAAAAATCTTGGATATATGATCTTGGCGGTTTCTATGGACCTCCCCGAGTAGCCCTTCCCTTTTTGACCGTAATCGGGCTTTATTTGGCCGAGATATGACCATTTAAAGTTTTCCAAAAATGTTCGTGTAGTTGTGGACACGATATTCACAACATAATCTCGCCATGATCAACGGCGAAGTTATGTCGCTTTGAAACGTCATATCTCCGCCGCTCTCAAAAAAATCTTGGCGGTTTCTATGGACCTCCCTGAGTAGCACTTCCATTGTTGACCGTAATCGGGCTTTATTTGGCCGAGATATGACCATTTAAGGTTTTCCAAAAAAGTTCGTGTAGTTGTGGACACGATATTCACGACATAATCTCGCCATGATCAACGGCGAAGTTATGTCGCTTTGAAACGACATATCTCCGCCGCTCTAAAAAAATCTTGGAGATATGACGTTTCAAAGCGACATAGCTTCGCCGTTGATCTTGGCGGTTTCCATGGACCTCCCCGAGTAGCCCTTCCCTTTTTGACCATAATCGAGCTTTATTTGGCCGAGATATGACCATTTAAAGTTTTCCAAAAAAGTTCGTGTAGTTGTGGACACGACATTCACGACATAATCTCGCCATGATCAACGGCGAAGTTATGTCGCTTTGAAACGTCATATCTCCGCCGCTCTAAAAAAAATCTTGGAGATATGACGTTTCAAAGCGACATAACTTCGCCGTTGATCTTGGCGCTTTCTATGGACCTCCCCGAGTAGCCCTTCCCATTTTGACCGTAATCGGGCTTTATTTGGCCGAGATATGACCATTTAAAGTTTTCCAAAAAAGTTCGTGTAGTTGTGGACAAGATATTCCTGACATAACTTCGCCGTTGATCTTGGCGGTTTCAATGGACCTCCCCGAGTAGCCCTTACCTTTTTGACCGTAATCGGGCTTTATTTGGCCGAGATATGACCATTTAAAGTTTTCCCAAAAAGTTCGTGTAGTTGTGGACACGATATTCACGACATAATCTCGCCATGATCAACGGCGAAGTTATGTCGCTTTGAAACGTCATATCTCCGCCGCTCTAAAATAAATCTTGGCGGTTTCTATGGACCTCCCCGAGTAGCCCTTCCCTTTTTTCCCGTAATCGGGCTTTATTTGGCCGAGATATGACCATTTAAAGTTTTCTAAAAAAGTTCGTGTAGTTGTGGACACGACATTCACGACATAATCTCGCCATGATCAACAGCGAAGTTATGTCGCTTTGAAACGTCATATCTCCGCCGCTCTAAAAAAATCTTGGAGATATGACGTTTCAAAGCGAATAACTTCGCCGTTGATCTTGGCGGTTTCTATGGACCTCCCCGAGTAGCCCTTCCCTTTTTGACCGTAATCGGGCTTTATTTGGCCGAGATATGACCATTTAAAGTTTTCCAAGAAAGTTCGTGTAGTTGTGGACACGATATTCACGACATGACTTCGCCGTTGATCATGGTGGTTTCTATGAACCTCCCCGAGTAACCCTTCCCTTTTTGACCGTAATCGGGCTTTATTTGGCCGAGATATGACCATTTAAAGTTTTCCAAAAAAGTTCGTTTAGTTGTGGACACGATATTCACGACCTAATCTCGCCATGATCAGCAGCGAAGTTATGTCGCTGTGAAACGTCATATCTCCGCAGCTCTAAAAAAAATCTTGGAAACGTCATATCTCCGCCGCTCTAAAATAAATCTTGGCGGTTTCTATGGACCTCCCCGAGTAGCCCTTCCCTTTTTTCCCGTAATCGGGCTTTATTTGGCCGAGATATGACCATTTAAAGTTTTCTAAAAATGTTCGTGTAGTTGTGGACACGACATTCACGACATAATCTCGCCATGATCAACAGCGAAGTTATGTCGCTTTGAAACGTCATATCTCCGCCGCTCTAAAAAAATCTTGGAGATATGACGTTTCAAAGCGACATATCTTCGCCGTTGATCTTGGCGGTTTCTATGGACCTCCCCGAGTAGCCCTTTCCTTTTTGACCGTAATCGGGCTTTATTTGGCCGAGATATGACCATTTAAAGTTTTCCAAAAAAATTCGTGTAGTTGTGGACACGATATTCACGACATAATCTCGCCATGATCAACGGCGAAGTTATGTCGCTTTGACACGTCATATCTCCGCCGCTCTAAAAAAATCTTGGAGATATGACGTTTCAAAGCGACATAACTTCGCCGTTGATCTTGGCGGTTTCTATGGACCTCCCCGAGTAGCCCTTTCCTTTTTGACCGTAATCGGGCTTTATTTGGCCGAGATATGACCATTTAAAGGTTTCCAAAAAAGTTCGTGTAGTTGTGGACACGATATTCATGACATAATCTCGCCATGATCAACGGCGAAGTTATGTCGCTTTGAAACGTCATATCTCCGCCGCTCTAAAAAAAATCTTGGCGGTTTCTATGGACCTCCCCGAGTAGCACTTCCATTTTTTACCGTAATCGGGCTTTATTTGGCCGAGATATGACCATTTAAAGTTTTCCAAAAAAGTTCGTGTAGTTGTGGACACGATATTCACGACATAACTTCGCCGTTGATCTTGGCGGTTTCTATGGACCTCCCCGAGTAGCCCTTCCCTTTTTGACCGTAATCGAGCTTTATTTGGCCGAGATATGACCATTTAAAGTTTTCCAAAAAAGTTCGTGTAGTTGTGGACACGATATATACGACATAATCTCGCCATGATCAACGGAGAAGTTATGTCGCTTTGATCAACGGCGAAGTTATGTCGCTTTGAAACGTCATATCTCCGCCGCTCTAAAAAAATCTTGGAGATATGACGTTTCTAAGCGACATATCTTCGTCGTTGATCTTGGCGGTTTCTATGGACCTCGCCGAGTAGCCCTTCCCTTTTTGACCGAAATCGGGCTTTATTTGGCCGAGATATGACCATTTAAAGTTTTCCAAAAAAGTTCATGTAGTTGTGGACACGATATTCACGACATAATCTCGCCAAGATCAAGGGCGAAGTTATGTCGCTTTGAAACGTCATATCTTCGCCGCTCTAAAAAAATCTTGGAGATATGACGTTTCAAAGCGACATAACTTCGCCGTTGATCTTGGCGGTTTCTATGGACCTTCCCGAGTAGCCCTTCCTTTTTTGACCGAAATCGGGCTTTATTTGGCCGAGATATGACCATTTAAAATTTTCCAAAAAAGTTCGTGTAGTTGTGGACACGATATTCACGACATAATCTCGCCAAGATCGACGGCGAAGTTATGTCGCTTTGAAACGTCATATCTTCGCCGCTCTAAAAAAAATCTTGGAGATATGACGTTTCAAAGCGACATAACTTCGCCGTTATCATGGCGGTTTCTATGGACCTCGCCGAGTAGCCCTTCCCTTTTTGACCGAAATCGGGCTTTATTTGGCCGAGATATGACCATTTAAAGTTTTCCTAAAAAGTTTGTGTAGTTGTGGACACGATATTCACGACATAATCTCGCCATGATCAACGGCGAAGTTATGTCGCTTTAAAACGTCATATCTCCGCCGCTCTAAAAAAAATCTTGGAGATATGACGTTTCAAAGCGACATAACTTCGCCGTTGATCTTGGCGGTTTCTATGGACCTCCCCGAGTACCCCTTCCCTTTTTGACCGTAATCGGGCTTTATTTGGCCGAGATATGACCATTTAAAGTTTTTCCAAAAAATTCGTGTGGTTGTGTGACATAGAAGTAACGCAAAGCATTGCATACTTTCGAGCTGTTCACATTTTAAACTATTCACAATAACACATTGCAGAAAAATTTTATTAAATATTAAAATGGGTATAACTCGGGTAAATACAGTCTGATTTAGGAATGATATGCCTCTTTCTACTCGTACGGATGATCAATTAAATACGATTTTCTTCGAAAAATTACTTTTTCTGAAAACTGATGGCATTCTGTTGTATGGACCTCTGCGACTTAGCCACCCAATCAATAAACTCTTTGTATAACTTAGAGCAAAAATTTATTTAATACTTTTCTCACTTAAATTTAAACTAGGATGAATTATTGCGTACAATATATTTAGTGTGGTGTGTGTTTTATCTTCTCTCTACATATTTGTGCGTTTATTTTTTACATTGTATACAAAAATTTAAGTCTTTTATCGAAGCCATCGAAGCTTAAAAACTAAACAAATATGTTTATTAGCAATATTTTATAAATATTTACAAATAATGGCAAAATGGCTTGACTCGGCGCACCTAGCGCAGCTCTACATAAATAACATTTCATTTCAAGCTATTATCAAAAATTCTAACAAAATCCACAAGAACATTTGATGCTTCGCGGCCTACAAGTTACACTAGGTTTTAGTTATAAATATATATCCATATACATATATATATATATATATATATATAGCTTTCTTCTTGAAGAGCACATTTCCCACTGTAGATCTGTTAAACTGTTGATCCACTTATCCAGTTCGTTTATCCTTTTCGCTTTTTTGGTATTGGCCAACTGTTCAGTTGGAATCGATGTTTGTTTCTTTTTTAGAATGTGATGTACTTGTCTATAGCTTAGCAACGAGGATCACAATATTGAGCTTAGTTATTGCCACTGTTAAGGTTCTCCGCCTCGGGCTCCACGGGGCCCTGATTCGCCAGAATGGCCATCTCGTCCTTCTCCTTGCGTTTAAAGAAGCCCGCCTGCAAGAAGAAAAGAATGCGTTGTTCATCAATCATCGTTTGCATGCGATTGTTGAGGTACTCACCTTGTACATGGCATACGTGATGGCTGCCAGCAGTAGAAGACCACCGAGTACGGCCAAAATAATAGCCCAGATGGGCAAGCTGGATTCTAGATGCTTTGATATGACATTCGGTTCAATTTTGCGTCGAATGGACAGCGAGCTGCCTGTGGGATCGCCCTCCTTGCGCACATTCAGATCAATGAGGACGACAAAGAACTCCCAGGGATCGATAAGGATGGCGTTCACCTCGTTCAAATCGATGCTGTAGCGCAAGTTCAGATTGATTGGCTTCTCCGGCTTGAAATTGTAGACGCGCATCACGGCGCGCAAACAGACGGTCATCTCGGGATCCCGACAATTGAACACAATGGTGCGATTAACCGGCAGCTTGTCCTTGAAGTCTTCGCTGAGCAGATCGTGCGCCTTGAAGTTCACGATTCGCTCATATTGCTCCCGACTGGCAGTCAAGGCTTTGAGATCGCGTCGCTTGCGCGTCATGGATGCCGTGGCCACAGCATCCGAGTCCAATACCTGCCAGCTTTCCTGCAACATATGCTCGTTGCTGCTGCTGACCTCATAGTGCTCCCCATTCTGATTAACCACCACGCGCTCCGTGTGCTGGCCACGACGCGTTGTCGAGATCTCAATGGGATTCATAATGATCTGCGTGTTATTCTGGTCAAGCAGCTCAATGGACACCAGCTGGGAGTCGTATGTGGCCTGCATGCTCAGATTGCCCACATTGATGATGGGCAATGTGGCCGTCGAGCCGGCGATCTTGTAGGCAACGGGTATATGGAAGACCAACTCGAGGCCATCCACAGTGCTAGGCCCATTGCTCTTGATCTCATAGTTGTTGACCACCAGCGCGGAGTTCTTATAGTGTTCCAAGTCAATTGCTGCATTGCTCTGGCCACTGAAAAAATCAATAGGATTGGGATGAGCACACATATTAAACGAGTTGTATCACAACTTACCCAGAGGCGTCGATTTCCGTGTACTCCTTGAGCGCAATCAGCGTGTTCAGCTTATTGTCGTGGAGATTTTGCTCCAGGCCCGTGCTGAATACTTCGGCGCTGATGGTCAGGGCGCTGCCCGTCAGGCTGCTCACATCGAAGCTAATCGTAATGCTGTCCCTGTCGCCCTTGCCCAAGGGTCGTCCATGGTTCAGATCGCAGACCATCACAGCCTCGCTCACCCTGCAATTGCCCGGGATTTGGGCGAAATTCAAGCGACTCGAGCTGGTCACATTCAGCTGCGGCAAGTAGGCTGTCTCTCCCTCGTTGGTCACCTCGTAGTTCAGGCGCAGCGTCTTGTCGCTGCCCAGTATATAGCTGGAGCTGTAAGGATAAAAAACGAATCATTATAACTTCAGTTTTTTTTTTTTTTTTTGTCAAAAGTTGTTTTTCTTAGTTACCTCACATCCTTGGCGCTCAGCTTCAGGTCGGCAATGCACACGTCGGTGGCACAGCCCGTGCTGAAGATGATCTTCTCAGTGTAGACCTTGGCATCCTCGGGATCCACAGCTACACAAGTCTCACAGAATTCTGTAGAGAATTAAATTGAGAGAAAATACCAGTTAAAGTAATGAAAGGCCTTCATCTCGCTCCACATACCTTCCGAGTCTGGCACCTTCTTGGTCAGCTCGTAGTGCATCTTTAATTCGATGGGCTGGAATATATCCTTCTCGCTGTAGCGCACCTCGCAGTCGAAGACGCGACACTGCTGCGTGGTGCCCGCCGTGGCATTGAAGCTCAGCTCGCTGGAATGCGTCTGGGTGAATGTCGCACGCTTCAGCTGGGCATCGATCACAATCCGTATGGCCATCTCCTGCTGCTGGGCAGAGCTCAACTTGGCCGTCGTCGAGAGTCCGTAGCAGGCCGTGATTTGCACTCGGTTCTGCTCCGGCTTGATCTCGCGATTTTGCGAGCGGACGCTAGCCAACAGCTTGACCACCGGATAGGCGCGATACAGGAACACGGCCTCCGCATTGGGCGCGCCCACAGCAAAATCATTAAAGCCATTCGCATCGATGTCCGAGCCCCGGGACAGACCATGCCCGAACATGTGCTGGCCGTACTTGGACGGCTGCTGCTGCGGCGAGTCCAAGCGCTGGCTGGGCTGTGACCGCAGACCCTGCTCGGCACCCAGATATATAAACACAGAGCCATTGCCGGCAAACGGTGCACCGACGGCAATGTCTGCAAAAGGAGAGGACATTAGTGAAAGTAAAGATAGGAATATATCTTAACGAGGAGGAAAGACTCGAAGTTGAGAAACAAAAATAGTTTTACTTTTATATTCCCGAGTTTTTCTGTATTTAAAAGATATCGTTTATGTTTTACTGATATTTGATAAATTTTTCTTGAAGAAATTTTAAATGCCGGCCAAAAATAAACATGCCAATTTTTAAGCAAATCTGAGAGATATGGCTATATCTTCTTTCACATTTTGCCATAGAATTAAAATACCATTTGCAATATATATAACTACTTTATGCTCAAGTGTTTCTATTTAATTGCTGCGTGGTGTATTCGCTTTATTTATCTATATGAAATACAATAGTAGTAGCAGGTACTCCATGCTCAGGGCCACGCCCCTGCGGCCAGAGGGGCAAAGATTGCGAAAATATTGCAAAAATATTTACATTGTAAGCACAGGAGCCGTAAATTGTATTGCAGCAAGAGAAGGGGGAGGGGAACTGGGACAAGGGTGGACAACTTACCGTTGTAGCCGTCGTGATTAATGTCGCCCAGCCGGGTCAGCGTGGTGCCAAAACGTGCCTTGGCCGTGACGGGCAGCGGACAGGGCAGCAGATTAACCTCGAAATTAAACTGGAATCGATAGCAATAAAATTAGTCAGCACCAGGAAGAAGAAGAAGAAGAAGCAGAGCGAGGCTTACTCACCCGTCCCTTGTTGAGGAAGACGTAAATGGCGCCATTATCGTGCGACTCCTCGAGGGAATGCTGCGGCGCCGAGATGATCACATCGGTGAGATTGTCCCCGTTGAGATCCTCGGCGAGTACCGCATAGCCAAAGTATTCGCCGAACTGTTCGCCGCGAAAGACATGATACTTCTCGATGGTCTTGCCGCGCACATCGTAGATGTAGCCCTCGCCGGACTGCTCGTTGGCCTGCGGCGCGGTGGCCACATAGAGCAGCCTCTTCAGATCGGTGCTGTCGAAGTGGCCGGAGCCGACGGCATAGCCGAAGTACGAGTCGTCCGGCTGGCCCCAGCGATCCGGATTGGGTATGTCCGTCTCGTAGGTAACTTCCGGCGCGTACTCTAAATAGTCGCCGCTGCCACGAATCTGGCGTCGCTTCTGGTTGCTCGTGTCGCGGCGACTTGCCGAGGGATCATCCACAAGGGAAACCTTGCGATAGCGTATGACCGAGCCGCGCCACGTGAAGATGCCCGGCGCGCCGATGAGGAACTGCTCGTTGTCATCCGAGACATGGGCGCTGAGTCCCTGCTCGGCCAGTATATAGAAGTAATATCTGTGATCGTTGTTCTCCTTCACCTGGTCGTCCTTCAGTCGCAACGGTGAGATCTTGGTCACATTCTGCGGCTGATCGGCGAGCGTATCGGCCACCCAGTAGCATATGCCGTGCATATGATAATCCTTTGACGATGGCGCTATAAATCTGGGCGCGCACACCAACAGCTTATCCTCGTCCCGCGTCCCGCCGTCCATGGAGCCACCCAGCCACTGATAGTCGCGACGCTCCGAGTCCCATGTGTACTCGTTGTTCTCCGTGTTCCGATTGCCGTGGCTATCGAAGACATATGGACTGCAGGTGCCGTTAACAAGGGAGCACTTGTAGATGGCGCCCGTCTCGTTGACCGCGCGCTGCGCCTCCAGCGTTGACTGGGCCTGCGGTGCGCCCACAATTACGCTATAAGAGAGTAGGGGTAAGGGGGAGGGCATCATTAGCACCACTCATAAACCGCAGAACCAATTGAGACCAATTGCCTAGACCTAGTCATCCTCTCAGCAATTGGAATTTGTTAAATACAGTTATGAGTTCTCAATACATTCATTCATTCTGTACAAACATAGGCTCTTCTTTATTTGCCATTGGACATTATTTCGAAACGGTGACCAATCTGATAAAGACTCGTTATTATCAGCGAGCATAGCTGGCGTATACTTGATAAACGACAATTCATTTATCGCTTGAAATTGAGAAATGGGTGTGGGAAACGGGGAAAAAAAAATTCATACCCAAGGCAACATCATTCAACTTCTTGAGGAATACTTAGAAATACCTTGACTTGAAGCGGAAAATCGGACGAGAAAGTTAAACTGGGATAAAGGCGCTATAAAGTGGACCTCTTAGCTCCAGCTGGTGGCCATTCAAATTAACATTTGCTTACATGAGTATAGCAGCTCTTAAAAAACTATAAATAATGCGAGTAAATAATGTACTTTGCCTTAAATATATATGTATGTAATTAGTGCTAGCATAAGTCTTGGCAACTGCTGTCAGCTTTAATTGGCATTTTTGCCATAATGCTAGACCACTTAACAAACACACACCCACACACACACACACACCTGCACACAATGCCACATACAGGTAATCTTATCAAAGAAAATCGACTAAAAGCAAAGCTGATAAACAGCACAACAAATTGGCATTGACTAACTTTTTAGCTAGAAACACACAAAGAACAGAATACTCAATTGCCAGAAATTGAATATGCCTCATTGAGTTATATATATTTATATATAAGAATGTATATACCCATAGCTATGTCTGGTCGGAAGGGTATCAGCGTACGTGCAATGCGAATGCTTTAATATTTGCATAACCTCAGCTTTTCGTTTGGACAGAAAAAAATGTGTTTCGGCCCATGTTTGATATACCCCGCCCCTCAGCAATGCACTCACAGCTCTAATAAAAACGACATAGAGTCCGTATTCCGTTAAATAAAAAAATAAAATAAAATAAAAAAATTCCAAGCCTCGAAAGAAATGAACATGATCTCTAGAATAGAGTAATAGATTTTTGTTACAAGTCCCGTATTTGGCCTAAGAATGTTGCATTTCCGTTAAATAATTTCGAACTAGGTTGATATTTCTCTGAGTGTACTAGGCCCGCGCTGGAGTTGGGTGAACTTCAGCCCCACCCCACCTGGCAGACCTTGTCGATTGATAGCGGCAACAAATATGACTTCATCATTTGCACAACTTAATAAGTTGTGTTTCATTTTTCTCTTTTTCATTCACTTTTTTTTTTTTTTTTGTGGGCCCCAACAACAACACACTTCATCTGGCAACTGGCACCCCGCTACCCGGCGATTCAATTTCGATTTCGATGAATCATCGAAAACTCCAACCTGTTTGCCCTAACGGACGCCTAGAGCGAACGAGCGAGCGAGCGAGCGAGAGAAGACGCGCCCCGAGCTTTAAGTTTCGAATCGGATCGGATCTTGTGGAACGGCACACTTACCCGTGCGGTCGCAGAGAGATGCTATAACCGAAATATGACGCACGCACTTTCGGCATTGCCGTGGCGAACTGTGGATCTCTGATCTGTTTGTTGGGGCGCGGGGACAAATTGTAGGCGCAGGCGCTGCCAGCGAGGCAGACGGCCAGCAGCGACAGGAGCAAGCGACCTTGCCGAGCCATGTTCACGGCGTTACCCTTAATAAATAAAATAAATCAATCAACTGAGGTAAAGCCGTTACACTATAAATTCTGATTTGATATTATCACAAATGTCAAACGGCGACAACACTCGCACAACGCACGACGTGGTGCAACAAACAATTGCAAATGCTTTGCCGCTCGCGACCGTCTCGAGCCAATGTCTGGACTCAACTGAAAAGCTGCGCGCGCTCTCTTCGACATGCAGCCGCAGCGGACAGGTAACTTTTTGAGAGTGCGCAGCGCTGCTCGAATTTACTCACTCGCTCTCTCTCGCTCTCTCTGTCTCGCTCGGCTTTCCACTCAAAACGTGAGCAGCTTACTCACTTTACCGTTGTTTGCAGTCGGCTGGACGACAGTGGGAGTGAGAAGTGTGCTTTAAAAAGCTGCGTTTATGTTTATTATCTTATTTCCATATTTGGCTGGAGTCAACTTGTTTGGCCTTCCCGTATAAAATGCAATTTCATAGTGTACTGAAAGCAACAACAACAACAACAACAGTTACACAGTTAACAGCTGAATGCAACTAGCTGAGCGTAGCTGATAACAAAACAGATTCAAAATAAACTAAATTAAACCGGTTAATCAGCTTTTATAAATAACTAAAAAAAAAAAAACGAAATATTAACTTTAAGCAGAAACTTTTTTTTATTGCCACTGGAACGCAGATTATAAGAGGAGCATAAAAACACATCGCAGATAAAATTCAGAGACTATTTCTTTCTGTGCATCTATTGCTTAGTCAGCAGCAAGGGGTAAAGGAGGGGGGGTGAGGGGTTGGTTCATGAATCACAATTGTGCATCTATGCAATGCCTAGGCAATCAATTTTTATTTCTTGCCCTTTGTTGCACGCTCTACAATTGTATATCCACAAATCGTAATTAAATTGTCAGGTAACAAGCACATGTCACTTAGCTACTTGTTTCAAATTTACAGTATTTACACATTTATGCAAAAACAATCAACAAATATTTGTTGTTACTTAAGCGACAAGCATGAAAACAACAGCATTAAAAGCAGCAGCGCACACACATGCACAAGCGTGTGTGTAAGTACTCATTCATTCACTCGTAACTGCGACCGTCTTTACACCAACGCCAAGTTTTGAGTATTTCCCAAAAAAAAAAAAAAATGCTTATGAGTCACTCGCTCAAGAGCCGTGTAATGTGTCACCCAGTTATGCACACAAACATTCAGACACGAAGGCATCCGCACACGCTCTCATCCGTTTGTGTAGGATCAGCGGAGGTTTTGCTTGAGACGGAGTTAAGTATATACATTTTTCTTTAGCATTTTTAAGTATATGTATATAATATTATTATAGTCCAGTTATTACTAGGCGTTTTCCGGCATTTTTGAATAGATACATCAAGCTTTTTTAGTGCTCAAAAGATACTGTGAATAATTGCCTCTATTTTAGTGTTGCGAAGTGTACTGAATATTTTTATCATGTAAACTGTGCTGAGTGCAGCTAAATAATTTGTCTGAACTGTGGGTAAGGGGGGAGATAGTAACCCCCCCTCTCTCTCTCTCTCTCTATAAATATAAACGTCAAATCTGAGCGCGGAGCTATGTCGTCATAAGACGCCATATCTCTGCACGGTAATCTATTGTTGCCACTACGGCGGCGCTATGTCGTCTCTTAACGCCAATTCGATATGAAGTCGCCTTAAAGTGAACTTGGCTTGCGAATTAATTTGCATCATTTAATTTTCGTAATACCAAATATTTTCATTTCGCTTGGATAGAAAATGCGGATCAAAGGATGCTTAAATGAAAGTTTCTTTAACAAATTCTCAGGCACAAAGTGAGCGGAACCCGCTCGCACTTTCCAATATTTTCAAATATCTATGTAAGTGTAGTTTACATTTTACCTAAAATAATACCAAATTTTGGTTCTTCAAAAAAGTACGGAAACTGGATGATGAATGGATTTGCCAGGGGCTATATATATATATATATATATATATAAATATATCGATTTCTGTTTGCGTGTGTGCATATAATAAGAATAAGGCATGTCGTGGACCACACAAATCTTCTTTCTTTCGCGCCGTGATTTTTCCCATCTCCATCAACAACAACGTCAACAATAGAAACAACAAAAGCAGCAAAAGCAACAACAAGTTGCGGTCAAGAAATGTTTAAGAACAACAGCAGCCGCTGCAGCAAGAGTTGCTGCAGTTTTGTGTTGTTGTTGCTGCTGCTGCTCGTTTTGGAATTGGGTTTAATGACCAAGAGAAAAGCAGCTAAAAATATTTGTGCGGTGTTAACTTTGTGGCTGAGTGGCATCTCCGGCGTCGCGGGGGCGCCGTGCCATACTGACGTACTGGCGCCGTGGCAGCAGACAGCACTTTATGCATTACAATATGCAGCTGCTGCAGGCAGATCCAACCCCGGCAATTGTCGCCAAGCCAATCATGTGCCTTTTGCCTGTTGCCTGTTGCCTGTTCCAGCGAGTATTCATGTGTTGCGCAATTCATTTGCTGTTCACTTTACACACGTTTGATACTCGTTCAGGCGAAATGAATCATAATATTTCTTTCTTTCACAACGAACCAAAAGAAAAATGTCGTCGCGACGCTCATTTGCCCTGTGAAAATGTCAGCCGCGAATATTTGTTTAGCTCTGGTCGCAGTTCTTGAAGTTTATCTAAGTAAACTCTGTTTAATATTGTCAATTTTGTTCAATTATCGATAAAGTCAGTCAGTAGATGTCTTATTATATAATCCAATCAGCACACTTATCGATACAAAATTGTCATTAATCCTTATAGAAAGTGAATATTTACACAAACAAGTTTCTAGTTAAATTTTTCTTTTAAGAACCTTGGAACCTTTCAATTAGCTTCTCTCACTTTTAGTTAAAGGGTATTTCTATTCTCATTGTACAGCTCTATTTCTACTTGCGTATGCTGCTTATTCTTGTTTGAATTTTGTTTCTAACAACTTGAATTGATGTGAAATAAATTACACGTTGTCGTGATTTTACGCGTAATTTCCGTAAATAATTAGGCGCACTCGCAGCTAATTGCAGGGCGCAGTTGGCTAATCACAATAAAAACAAATTTGTGGCCCATTGCATTACAATTTTAAAGTGCGAGTCACAAAAAAAAAATAAATGGGCAGAGGAAGTAACCCAATTAGTTGTACGAGTGTCCATCCAAAAAAAAAAAAGCACTCAAATGCGAAACTCGTTATAAACACGTACTACTCATAGTCATGCATAAAAACAAGATTGTCAATTTGCCCCCTCCCAAAAAACAAATGCCACAAGCTATAAACTGAGAACAAAATTATTACTACTAACTGCACGCAAAATAAAAAAGAAAAAGGAATTAACAATAAAAAACAGTATGAAATTTGATGCTTTGTCATCTGAATCTGTGGCCCAAATTTGGCGACTCTTTCCTATGCCCTTCCCGAAAAAGAGACACTTCAAGTGCGTGAATCAGCTTGCCAAAATCAAGTGTAAGTTATTTTTTAAATAAGTTGGCATTAGAGTGGATAAGCGTGGCATAAATTGTCTCAGTAAGATTACAAATGCACATTTCAATAAATATTTTGCTAATTGAACGAATAAAAAGAAAAGAAAATCTTACTTACTCAAATAAAGATAACTTTTCTATATATGTATATATTCTTTAATTCACAGACTTGCAATATATAACACAATATCACCAAAACGTCTTTCCGACATGTTTTGACTACTTGATTCATTGTTGCAGTGAATCATTGCTACAAGGGGGCGGCTGGGGGCTTGGAAATATCATATTAAGCCCAGCATTGATAATGTGTATTGTGTTCAACTGAAATGTGCTGCATTTACTTTGTACTCCTTATCCCATTGTCAGGCACTACTTTGGGTAAGTTGTATAAGCCATAGATATATAGAACTGACTCATCTGCTGTGCAATATATATTCATATGAAACAAATCTGAATCAGAAATGCGCATTCACTTTGACATGGATTCTTATCAGAATATGCTGATTGAGGATAGGCTTACAGCATAAACTAAACTTTAATCAAGCTAAACTAAGATTTTGCATAATGATTTCAAGCTAATGATCAAATTGTAGCATGCCTATTAGATTGCATTATTCACTAAATGCAAATGTTGCTGTTCAATGTAGTTTTATTGTTATCTTCGGGTATTTTCGCAAACCAACTTTTTGTATATATTGTTTACTGCAAAAAAGAACCCAACAAAGTCGAAGCTAATGAATTGTAGCAATATCTAAGCCTAATACATTGTAACGAATGACTATCTTAGAGTATTTCCCTTGAGACTTCGCATACTCAACAGTTGATCTCCAATGTCTTGGGTTTGTTTGAATTTTAAAGCTTGATTTGATTTGTTGTGCAGCTTTTTTTTTTTTTGGTGTGATGTCATTGCCGGTGCCCGCGTATTCTAAACAAATGTGGACGCCATCAGGTCTACGTACAAGTATCTACCCGGAGCTATAACTACTTATATACTATATCCATAGCGTATGTGGGTCGCGGCGGCCAAGAAGTGAGAGTTTGTCAATTGTCGAGAGATCTCAGCGCTGCGATCTGTGGCAATTGGAATTGATGGCAATTGTAGTTGAAGTTTGTTATTTTTAGAAAATTCTGTTTGCTAAGTGTTTTTATTTTTTTTACTTTTCTACTTTTCGAGTGGTTTCCGTGCTGCGCGTTTTTTTAACTATTATTTTTGTTGGCTTTTGGCGTTGTTTTAGTTTTTATTTATGCAGCTGCCAAGTCGAAAATTTACGTCTGAGAACGAGTTTTTTCTGCCGAACTATCGCCATTATTTGACTACATTTAATTATGGGCCACATAAATGTAGTCAACGGTGTTAAATGCCGCCCAAAGTGCTAATTGATGCTAATAAATTTACTGTGTAACATACCCTGTAACAACTGAGAATTGCCATCTGTCAGAGAAGATAAAAACCATAGATAATAACAATTTCGAATACCCTACAGGGCATCTATTAGTCTGTCCCTTTCAGCTAATATCCTGATAAAAGAAGATAACAAACAATTTGAATGCATTACAGGGCATCTGTTAGTCTGTCAGTTTCAGCTAAAACTCTGGTAAAAGAGGGTAATGGCAATTTCGTATACATTACAGGGCATCTGTTAGTCAGTCACTTTCAGACTTGTTGACTGTTTGCGGTTCGAGTACAAAAAGAAGCTTCTCTGATTGCTCAATTTTGGGCGAGCGCTGAAATATTTTCGAGCATTTGTCATAAAAATTGAGCCACAGCTGCAAATTATTGACAAAGGTGTTTGCCGAACAGTAGTTCAATTGCAAACGGGGGGAGGGAAGGGAGGTGGTGGTGTGACGGGTGGGCAAGACTTAAAGGCGTTGCTTGTCTGGCGTCATGTCAAATATAAACTGAGTTTCTCACATTGTTTGCAAAAGGCGCATAGCAGCCCGGCTTGTTCGCACTCGTATTCATATTCATATTCAAACACTCACTCGACACTCACTCACCTGGTGGGGCGCATGACCAGTGTGTAGCCAAAGTAGCTGCTGCGCGCTTGGGGCAAATAGAATTTGAGGTCTTGGGGCGCGCGTATCACAAAATTGGCGCGGGGCGCGTAGTTGAAGGCGTTTGCCACGCCTCCGGGACGCAACAGCGCCAGCAGCAGACACACAAAAAGGCGGCACATCATTTTTGTAGTTGTTGTTGTTGTTGTTGGGCAGTTAAAATTCAATTTGAATTGAAAGACATCAAATTAAATTTGCGCATGCGTAATTTTTGCTTGCCTTTGAATTGAATTTTATTAACAATGCACAGCCATATACATATATTTGTATATATCACATATGGCTTAATTTAAGCTCATAAATCACAATTAAAACGAGCTCGAGGATTATATTTATGATTTATTGAATTTAATTGATGATTTAACACGCATCCACAATTTGGTTAATTTATTTTTATTGCATTTCAGCGACACGAGTTTTCCGTTTGTAAGTTTTAATCCTAAGCCGAAACTCGAATTTGTTGTCGATGTTGTACGCGACCCGCTTCACAACTGTTTCGCTTGAATTACACTTATACGAAGTAAACAGAAAAAAAAACTCTTGAAATTCACGTAATTCGCGTATGTTGCAAGCGCCTTTGCCGCAGCCTCAACTGCTGCTGATCTTTTATATAGAGATCATGCGTACGATGAATCCACGTCTTCAGCCTCCGCTCTTTATGTGCTCCGTGTTCACTCGACGAGCGCTTCGAATAAAATGAAGCAGCTCAATTGCCGCTGTGTGTTCTCTGGCCGCTTGTTTGGGTCTCTGGACTGTGCTTTGATTTCGATAGCATGTGTGTATGTATGCGTGCTTGAATGTGTGGTACAGGCGACATGTTTGTCGCAAGCTAAAACTCAAATGAGCGGCATTTCATGTCTTTCATGTGAAAGGGAAATTATTGTTCCCATTGAGTATTTTCCTTTTCATTCTTTTAATTTTTTGTCGGCTGGCATGCACTGAATTCTCTTTTAACAGTGCATGCAACCACCCGCGCTCGCAGCACACACTCCCGCATGCATTTTTACACCCTCTCTCGCACGCACACACACACACACGGACAAGCAGCGAAGAGCGTTGCGTTCATTATTGTCACCATTGAGCGAGTGGAATGCGTGTGAGTGGACTTGGTTGTTTCCTTTAATGAGGAATAACTCCGTTTGGAGCCCAGCCGGGCTATTTGTCAGCTTTTATTTTTCAAGATGCGCATTAATACTTATTTGCTTATAATTAAGAATAACATTAAGCATTCAAAATGTCCGTTCAGTTTGGACATGCAAATGAAGAGCACATGTCGGCCATAAAAAGCCAACAAAGGATGACGATTTATATAAGCACATCTATATATACATATATACTTATGTATAAGTATATGCATGTATATTAGTTGTGCATGCAAGTTCTTGCGGGCATGTGCTTTATATAGCCGAAATGCTCAGCTCAGTATGCTGTTGCAGTCATTGAACTTGTGGGCAAAGTAAATACCGGGAGCAGCGCTAAATAACGCATTGTTTATACACAATAAAATAAGCTTATCAGCTACACAGTGCGATACGAAAAGTAGCCCAATAATTTGTTAGGGTAGGTTATGTGCAGCGAGCGCAGTTTATGTGTCCGTGACATGAATGGTAGCCAAATATGCGTTGCCAGGCAGTTTGACATGCGGCTCAATTAGAAAGCACTTAGTTACGCCAGAGAATCAACAAATGAGAGAGGGAGAGTGGGAGCGCGAGAGAGAGGGAGCGAGTGTGCCAGCGAGAGCTCGGGGTCTAGCACAGACAGGGCCCTGATAAGACGCACGTCTTTCCATTTACTGCACTTGTCTCTGGCTCCCTTCTGTGTTTGTGTAATTGAATTAGTTTGCCGTTTATCAGCCACAATTGTAAAACAATAAAAACCTAAGAAAGTTCAAGCGCTGATAAGCCAATTGAATCGCCCCATAAATGTCAATTCACAGCTTGTGTTACGAGCTACGAAATACCAATTAAATTTACAATTTCAATTTACAATTTACAATTTCAATTTAGTATTCCAACTTCAAACTCGAATTTGAATTCGAGGCACATGCCTTATGCATAAATAAAATTCCTGTTAAAAGCCATAAATACGTAATACTATAGTTCGAGGTCTTAAACATCTGTGTTTATTTTGTTTTGGGGTTGGCGCGGTGAAAATACCAAACAACATTGTGCCCTAATACCCTGTAATAGTGCTTAGTACTAAAGAAAGTGTTTCTTTTCTTTAATAAAATAAAAACTATTTCCTAATTCTTTTGATTGAGCAAAAACCAAGAATCTTTCTTTATTCTAATTCGAACTTGGGATTAATATTCTTTTGGTATAGATCACCACCAGACAACAGTGTGCTCTAATACCCTGTAATAGGCTAATTAAAAACGATTGCCTCTTTTGTTTATTTCAGTGAAAACAAGAAGTTAATCTATATTCTGATTCAAATACCTTGCTGCTATATATCATCACATATTATACAAGTTATCTTTACGCTTTATTATTATACAGGGTATCTAACAGTTAGGCAATCGCTAGCAAGGAGCTTGTATATATTTTCTTTTTGAAGCTGGCACAATAATTTAAAAAGCTCCAAAGTAAACATTCGATGCAACTAGAAATGCGGCATTGATGGAATTGTTTTTTTTGGAGCACGCATAAAGTGTCGGCTGTGTCTGTGCCACGCCCACAGACACAAGTTAAAAATCATAATGCAATAGGCATAATTATGCGCTCGCCAGCTGATTTAACAGCAATTATGGCAGTGGCAAAGCCAGCACGAACTGCAGTTGGAGTCGAGCAGGGGCAAACGTGGCAACTGCGGGGGCAGCAACACATATTGTTGCATATAATTGAAGTTCATGCCCCAGCAGTCGCCCTCGCACGCGTCTGCCCTTTGGTGCGCCGCTCCCCTTCAATGCTGCTGCTGTTGCTGTTGCACTTGAAATGGCTGCAACATGTGCTTGTGGCAGCAACAAAAATACAAACGAACAAAGGGGCTATCTTCGGCACGCCGAAGTTTTAATACCCTTGCAGACGCAACCTTTTCATTATGCTCAGTGTTTTGATAAATAACAATGTTTTCGTACAAAAAACTGATAGATAGTAGTCCGATCCAACCGTGTCCGACATAAAAACTTCGTGCAACAGTAAAAGTCACTTTTACAAAGTTTCATGACAATAGCTTTATAACAGAGACTAGTTCGCACAGAAACAGACAGACGGACATGGCTATATCGACTCGGCTGCTGATACGGATCAAGAATATTATATACCTGATGGTGTCGCAGATGTCTTCTTCTATGCGTTACACACTGTCGGATAGAGTATAGAGAGTATAAAAACGCTCACAAATTGAACTGTTCAAAATGAGTTTCGCCTTCAAATGGGGTTCGTTTACTAGAGGCTGCCCTTGAGCTGATCTTTACTCCAATTCATTTTGAATGATGCAGTTGCTGCTGTTGCTGCTGCTGCTGTTGCAGTTGCAGTTGCCTTTTATCAGCACCCCCCCATTGAATTTAGCTCGTACTCATAATTATCTGTCGCCATACTTGACGGAAGTTTCATGCACTTTTCCACATTTACAACTTAACGAATGCTTCGCGCTTCTAGATGCATTTATCAATTTATCAGCACAGGCAAACAGGCCCCATAGCATATATGTATGTACTTGTATATACATGCTATATCTCCCCATTTACTGCATACGTACATATGTATGTCGTTGCAGTCGTATCAACAATAACTAAATAACTATAGCTACCTCTGCCCCTCCTCTGCTGTTGCCTTTTGTTGCAGCTGTGAAAATATTGTGAGCCGGCGCCTTATTTGGTCAACGCGTGGGGCGTGTACGGGCACGGGGCGGTGAGGTGGAGGGGAAGTGGCTTGCTGTTGCCACAGTCGAGCTGACAAAAGGAAGTGCTGTCTGCCATTTTAAAGGTGAATTCAATGCAGGTGTGCTGGCCTCTGACGTCAGCGACATTGATTTGTAACTGTTAAAAAAGTGAATTAAAAATCAAATTACAGTTGGCTTTCTTCTTTTTTTTTTTAAATAAACAATATTCACTTTACCTTGCAGTCCATTTTATTTAAATTATAATATTAATATATAATATTCTGATCATTATTGATTCTTAACAATATTGTCATCCGATATGGATTAGATTTCCTTGGTTCGGTTCACTTAACTGCCTGACTTAAAATTGAGTAGTTCGTTTAAGTGGATTTCCACATTAAATTACTTTTATTTTAGTGCTGAACAATTTATGAATCAATCTAAATATGAATCGTGTTCGTTCTAGGCTTAAGTTTTTAATACTCCCAAGCACTTTAGTTTATGCCCCGGCTTAACTGGCTCAATATTTTGCTTGGGTTGCGTTGTTTTTGCATCAGTTAGCCCGTAAAAACATTGTGTTTGCATTTCATAAATGAACCACGGCAATTTTGAGGAAACTGAATGGAAACTGAATGCCAATCAATGTCAAACAGTCTCAAACCCTTGCCATAAAAACCAAATGGCCAACCCCTTTGCGAGCCAGGCGCCGTCTGGCAGGTAAATACACTACATGCATATGGGTAAATATGTTATAAAAAAAAAAAGGAGCACAAATTGCTGTCGCTCGACTAATTGAAACAAAAAGTGTAGCAGTTGCAGGTGCGTGGTTGCGATCGCTTAATGTTGGGCAAATGAATAACTCAAGGCGAGGCCAAACTCTCGACGCCTACTTAATGTCACCTTTCAATGGAAATAATTGTAAAAAAAAAAAAAACAAAAGTTTTGATAGAAACAAATAAGAGACAGCGAGAGAGAGAGAGAGAGAGGAAGATATTGAGGGGGAGATCTCTTCGAAACACTTTCGCTGTCTGCCAGCAAAAAACAAACAAAAAAAAAACGCCGAAAATTGAATACCCTTGCAGACACAGCAAAAAAGTTGTTCATACAAAAACCTACTTTTTGACCGATCGTTTCTATGGCAGCTATATGATATGGAGGTCCGGCTATATCGACTCGGCTGTTGATACTGATCAAGAATATATACTTGATGCGATGTCTCCTTCTATGCGTTACATATAAGGCGACAAAATTATAAGAACCCCTGCCAGGGTATGATAAAAATAAAACCCAATATCTTATATAAAATTCAGGCGGCGCTTTCCGGTCCGCCCGCAACTGTGTCAAAGCCATAATCGGACGCGTAATCCGAGACGAGCAGCAAATCGAATCTCGGGCAGTTTTGTCACAATTCAAGCGCTTTTGGGACTATGCAAAAATACAATATTTGACTCGAGGTCGTGAATTGATCGTGTAACAAATTGAATTGAATATATAGCCAAGCGATAAGTACAACTAGCCCAATGTCAGAGTAGATCTTTTGTCAGCCCAACTTCTCGTCTTTTGTCACATTCGGTTCATCAGCTCGAATTGTAATTTCAGCATTATTTTATTGTCAACTCGAGGCACTCGTCCATTGCGTTTGGCACGTTGTCGTCATAAAATCATCAAACTATATGTTAAATGCTCTCTACACATCACATAAAAGTGTTCCTCGGCGTAATTAAAATTCAAATCAGGCGACCGGGCGGCAGATGGGCGTGGCTTGGCTCTTGCAGCTGCAGTCGCTTCGGGTTTTTGTTATAAATATAAAAAAAAGGGAATATAATCTTCATAAATAGTTATCGGCTTTATTGGCATGTGAGGTGCATAAAGAATGGCATTCTTTTAGCTCAGGAGATCTTATATATAGTCAGCAGTTAGTCTGTGCCAGCCACACTTGTTTAATGCCTAGTTTAAGTGCCACTTAGCCATAAATTTTATATTATATTATATCTAAAAGTCGAATTGCTTCCGGTTTTAAATTGAACGCAACCAATTGAATTTTGCTGGAATTGCCAACTACATCCATTTAGCAAAGACGCGCACCATCTGTTGCACATTAATGGCTAAGCAGCGCAGTAGTCCAGCCGCAAGCAGTCGTAACTGCTTTGCCAGCTGCTGTGCAAGTATACCAAATTTACTGCATACTTTTGTGCGCGGGCAGATAAATTCAAATTCTTGGCTTTCAAACGTAACGCACTTTGAGGACAATTTTTGAAACCATAAAACATGTTTGGGAATAAATTCCATACTTTCTAATAAATTTATTTAATTCTTTTCTGCTATATATTTCAATAAATAGGTAAAGCAGTCACACTATTCGGAACAAGCTCTTAAAATATAGCAATGGGTAAGCATGTAGACAAAGCAGTGCAAGCAGAACTCGAACGAGAATCAACTTTTTAAATTTGATAATAACTTTCAATATTATCAAAAGCAGCTAATGAAATATAAATCTGTTTAAATCTGGTTTGTTTTTTTGTAGCACTTCTTTATGTTTTCATCAAATTTCGATATAAATTGAAATGTACAAAACCTTTATGCAACATTTCACATAATTAATACGCATGGCACATTTACACACACACACACACGCACAAAGTCTTACCTGAATAATTTAAGTTGAAAATAGGCGCATCCATTAATTTATGCACATGCACACGAACATGCCGCACACATACAACTATGTTGCACATAGTCAAACACACAAACACACACACACACTCACACATGTGCGCTGTCCAACTGCAAACCGACTAACGAGGATTATAATGACGCTGTCTAGCCAATTGCAATGGCTTTTGCTTTGATGTAAAGTGCCGACAGCAGAACAAGCCTAAGCGGACTAATACACACACACACACACGCACACACATATGCATAAGCACACACGCACACACACTTTACACACAGAGAAATCAGTCTAGACGAGACAACGGGCAGACAGCTTAACACAAGGCAATTTCTTTTTGTCATCGAATATCCTTGAGGCAACGCAAATTGCCGCCACTTAAGCTGCCCCCACCCACGCCCCTCTCTTTACCTTTTACTAAATAAACCTGCCCTGCACTAATTAGCGTGAGAAACGTGTGCATTCAAATTGATAAATGCCGCATACGTGCATTGTGCCATAAAAATCTCGCTCTCCATCTAAAGAGGTTTTACTGCAGTTGACTTTGATGTTTGCCCAATAACCATTTCAACCATTTCATTTGATATATGATATGGTCAACGTGCCCGTCACGCCCACAACCGCCCCTTAAGCGCTTCCTGTTTGCGCATACCATAACGCATTTTGCTGTGGCAGGACCAAATATTACGCATACGCAGCGCATGACCCAAAGAGCAGGCTGCATAATTTATATGGGCATATTTTTGTTGCCATAAACTTATTTATTGTCATTGATCGAAAACTGATTCATTTCCTGTGCCCATGCTCAAACATTGCACTTTGATCTGCGACGTGGCATTTTGCAATTTTTGCATTTAATTTCGACAGCCGGAAATCTGCATTTACAATTAAAAATTTCGGAACTAATATATAAATAAAGAAAAATTGTTTCCATGAAATTGGCAGACAGCGCTATAAACATATATCTGAGCATTTAATGCACATATCAAATGTGGCACACAAATTGCAGGGCCAGCTGATTGCGCATACGTCATGTGGTACGCGCTTTATTTTATTTTAATTATATTTTGTTTTTTTTTGTATCAAAATGCCAGCACACGCAGAGCAGACTCCGGAGCCAAATGTGGCAGCCACATGCATTGCCGTTGTCCATGTCATTAGTTCGAGCAAAAAGATGCACGAGAGTGGGAGTGGACGGGGCAGCGAGCAGGCATGGAGCAAGTGCAGCTGAGCCCTAATGCACGCGCGGCACGCCATCGCCCTATAAAAGGGGGCCAAGAGCAGCTCATCGGCGTCTCCTTCTCCATCTCGCTTTCCTACTCCGTCTGTTTCTCGCTCGCCGTCTCTGTCCGTTGCACATCAAAATTTCTTAATTTTGAGGCAGAGTATCCAGCGCAAGACGAGTGCACGACGACGACGTGCAGTTTGCTTTAACAAATATCTGGCAATTAGATCTAAATTATGACGCTGTTTGCGCCATAAAGAAATCGCTTTTCTCGCTTGCCAGCTGCCAGTTAGCAGTTGCCCAGTTAGCAGTAAGCTTGTTACTGCTGCTGCAGTTGCTGCTGCTGTTGCAAACAATAGACAGTTAAGGCCAGGCAGATATTTTTATGTTTATGTTTATGCTGATGTTTACTATATGGCCGCAGCATGGCACTTGCTGCATTTAATGAGCCAAGCAGCTTGGCAACAACAACCCACACACACACACACATCTGTTCATAGCCGGAAATGCACACAGACACACATACACACAAATATTAAATGAAAAGAAAAAGTTGCGGCAGTCGCTGACTTGAAAATACCCTATAACGTCACACAAAATATTAATTAACTCTGTATCAAGATATATTATCAGTTTAACATGTTCAATATAACCGAAATTTATGCCTCGTGAGGATCGCCGCACAACCCAAGCCTCAAGGCCTAAAACAAGTCGAGCTACAGCTCCTCCCCAAGACGGCAAATACCAAAAGTCAAGGTCTATCTTAAAAAAGTTAATCCAATTGGTTTCCTCTCAGTCTGATCGTCTGCGGAGTAAACAACGAATTGGACAGCTCTAGTCTCTGGTATTGTGGCTGATCAATAACTTTTATACTTCTTAGAATGGCAACTGCCTGCAAAACTTTTGTGCTGCTATTATTCTAGGCATTTTTGATTGCTACAGGGTATTACAGACGCCAACTTAAGAGCCAAGAGCCACATCAGCTGTTCAGCAAGTCACAAACAACAACTGCAACTGCAGCAGCAGCAGCAGCAGCAACAGCAGCAGCAGCAGAAACTGCAGCAGGTTCCGCCAAATACTAACACAGACTCGCCCTCTCTCTCTCTATCTCTGTCTCTCTCGCTCCCTCTCTGTTTCTTATGCGCTTGCAGTTAACTTATTAAAATGAAATTTAAATTTTCAACGGCACACTTTAAAAATAAAAAAAAAAAACACTCGCAAATGGTTTTAGGCCCAAAAGCGAAGTAGTCCTTAAACACGAAGCAACAAGTCAACAGAAATAGCAACAACAGGAAATTCTCAAAACGTTTGCAAAGTTCTCGCTCTCGCACTCTCTCTTTCTCACTGTCTACCTAGCTGTCTCTCTTTTGCTCTCTCTCTCTCTCTCTCTCTCTCCCATCTCTCTCTGGCTGTTGGCTACCCAAACGAGAACTTTGGTTTTCAAAATTCAGTCGGCATTCGACCATCAGTTGGGGCGCACGTATTTCAATCCGCCCAAAAAGTCGAAACAGAAAGTTTTCTGTCGCGAAAAGTTGTTAATTCAAATGAAAACAAAACCAAACTCTTTGTGTAACAAATTATTTAAACAAATTGTCATCAATAAGTTCGTTTAACATTTAAATTTTATACAATTTTAATTTGTGCAAAGTTGGCAAAAGACGCGCTTAAATAAAAAACATAAACTTAATGCCCAGCTAGGCAGTTTGTAATTTATATATACATATATATACATATATATGCATAATTAAGTTCTTATATAAATATTTAATTTGACTGATAATAAAAGTTGAGCAACGTTTTATTAACTGAAAAGCGTGCGGCCAAAAAGCTCGCAAAACAACGCAAATTGACTGCAATAACAAATTATAATAATAATACTACGAAAAAAATAAATAAACTATATCAGCTATTTGCGTATGCTCTGTTATTTTCTTGGGAAAATTGAGCCATAAGAAATATTCATTTAAATTCATAAAAGTTGTCATAAAGCTGTATTTCAAAATTGCCTAACAACAATTTCTGCTAAAAATAAAAGGTGAGAGAAATTAAAGCCATATTTAAATGTTATTGTAACTGAAATAATCAAATTATAAATTAAATAAAATTGATAACAGAACTAAAACAGTTTTCAACTTTATAGTTTGAACTTTTTGCCTCGGCCCGCCAAGATCTGTAGACCTTTTGGAAATATTTAAAGATTATGGGAAACCTAAGTTGAAACATGAAAATCTTATTAAAACTTGATTTATATAGAAAGAAGTTAGAATCTTATCAAAACTTAATTGTTTTTTAAATGGAACTTTGTGTTGTTTTAATTTTGTAAGACTGTTTATTTGGCTTTGCCAGCATTTGATTGCCCGATCTTCAAGCAACACTTCAAGCTAACAAAAGACCAGATCTATGGGCAAAACCGTTTGTTAACACCTTTATGCTGTTTGCCAACAAGGTGTTAAGGTTGGGTTGTGTTGTGTTGTGTTTTGTTTTGTTTGCTTTTGCGGAAAACTGTCTGCAAATTGTTTCGATTTGTGCAGCTGCAACAGTTCCACCAATTGAGGAATGCAGTTGCAATAATGAAAACATCACAAGAACAATAATAAAAAATTCAAAAAAAAAAAAAATAATAATAATAATAATGAAAATAATTCCACGTACTATTGCGACTCTCAGACAATAACAAAATTCTTGCATAGTTGTCAACAGCATTATCGAAAGACTCAATAACAGATCCAATTTCAATGTGCGACGATATTTATTTTCATTCGCTCCGACAACGACGACGACGACGACGACTACGATATTAGATGGTTTATTTCTTTTATGTATTATGCTCCAAAGTTTTGACTGCTCTTCCGATAGAAGACGAAAACAACGGCAATTGTAAAACACACAGCACAGTGCGGGGGAGGGCGAGAGGGCGTAGAGTATAAGCAAACAACAATTTCACGCAACTAAGATGGCAAATAAACAACAACAACAACAACAACAACTAGAAAAATAAACTATCTGCAACACACCGAAAGTTAAATACGCTTGTTAGCATCTGCCTTAGTTTTTTGCAGATAATTGTTGACCTTGCTGGAAATGTTTTAAAAAATAGCCAACGGAACAATTAAACATGTTGACCAGCTCTAAGGAATGAGATTTCGGTAATATTAAATATATTGCCAGTTTTGTTTCAGATATCTTAAAAGCAACAGCTTTTTAGATAGGAATTTAATCTTTAAACGAGGCAGATCTATCAGAAAAAATCTTCAGCTCATAATTATGCACCTTGTATAGAATATTTTCTATGATAATAGAAAATGTTGACCAGCTCACGATTGAGATTATAATCGAATGCCAGTTTTGTTTAAGATATCTTTGATCGATGCCAATTTTGATATATGCATGCATATAACACTATGGCAAAAAATAGCTGAAACTGAGAGACTTGTTTGCATAAAAAAAGACGACCACGGCTATATCGACTCGCCGATTTGAACCGATCAAATTATATTCGAAGACTTTACACATTTCATGACAAAACTATGATACCCTCTATAAAGCTGTAGAAATTTTGAGCGCGCGCTTTTCTAAAACTTTGGCAGCGGCAATTGAAAATGCTGCTGATTTCCTGTTTACCAAAGCTGCGACTCGAGTCGCGAGTCTCGAGCTGGCGTTAATGAGGCGTTCCTCTTCTTCTTCTTGCTGTTGTTGTTCTCGTCTATGTGCATTAGATCACAGCAACAACAACAACAATTGGCAAATATGTGCCCAGCACTTTGCAAGTGTCGGGTTTTCGGCCAACGTTGCGTATGTGCAATGCAAACGAACGCGTGACGTTCGAGCGCAAAGAAAATAAACAAAACTCAACGTCCCAATGGATCACATGATGCGGCGGCTGTTTCTCTAGGCTGTGGGAGGCTCGACTCGCACGCACACAACCGCACACCCGCACACACACACACACACACACACACACAGAGCCGGCAGCGGGCAGCGTCAGTTTGGCTGCTTGATTGACCGTCGTCGTGTGGCTCGCTGCGTCGTTTTGATTTGATTTGTTTGTTGGTTTATGTATATTTATTGAAAATTTACTGCTTGCATAACAAACGACGACAGACCCTATCACTCGAACCCCTCCAACCCACCTCCCCAACGACCCCCACCCCGCAGCAGCTGCTGTCATATGCAAATTTTGCGTATGCGTAAGTGGGCGGCATTGCTTGACAGCCTGGGGGGGTGGGGTGTGCGAGTGTGTGTGTGCGTGTGTGTGCTTTGCCCAAAATGTCATTAATCTCGCAGCAGAAACTGTGCAACTTTACGCTTTTCGACAGCAGCGTTTACTTTAGCTTGATGAGTTTGCTGAAAGGAATTTCCTGTCATGCTAAAAAAACACAAAAAAAAAAAAGAAAATCCCAAAAAAATATATATATTTCCTAAGAAGCGATTTTGTTCGTTATTCATGAAACCATAAACGCGCTTGACCCTTTTTTCTCGTTAAGCATGAACCTACGCCTGATACACAGTTATGCCAGCGCGTAAGATACAGATACACATAGATGCAGATACAGATACAGATACAGATACAGCGACTGAGAGAGAGCCAGACCCAGACCCAGACCCGGGGCCAGACTCAGTTGGAGACCTGCAAAAGTGCGACGTGCGCTAAAAATAACTCAGGTCGGCGTCGGCGTTGGCGACGGCAACGGCGCGTCCTCAGTTATTGCGCAATCGCGGCGGCAACTTTGTTGCCCCACACCAGAAGCAGGAAGCGGCACAAATGGTCACAGACCCTGGCTTGTCAGCTTGTCGCGGAATGCCAAATAAAAATTGGTAGGTAAACGGATTACCTGCAGATAAGCTATCATCAAAACGAAAAACAGACTACAAATATTTGTGGGTGTGTGTGGGAATGCAGCATATATATATATAATAATATCTAAAGAATAAATTATATTTATATTATTGTGGATCTTGGATCGAAACTTAGGCTCGGGGTAGACATATTGTATTGATTTGGAATGTTAATTTTAATTGTATTCATATTAGGTATACTTTCTCATCTCCTTCATAAATTCATAGAAGGCTTAAGGTATTATTTTATATATATAAAAAGCTGAAAATGTGTGAAAATCTCTTTCAAATCAGATGCATCCATAAAAATGGATCTTGAATCGAAACGTAGGCTCAAAGTAAACATTTTGCTTTGGATCGGAATGCAAAGTTTAAATTGATTAATTTTATTATTTAACTTTTAAGTAGACTTTCTCATCTGATCTCCTTCACCCATTCATAGAATGCTTAAGTTATTTATTTATTCTATTTTTATAGCTGTTTGTTGCCTACTTAAGAGATCACATTACTAAGCGTAAAATCGATGCGTTTATTTACTTGTATATTTGATTAAACTCTTCACACTGCGTGTCTAATAGATCTGTTTACCTGTAGCACATGCTAATGAGCTTGACCTGGCCAAAAGCAAGCCGAAGACCTTGATAAGCATAGAACATGTTCAATGGGAAACTGAATATGTGATGCATATATCTAACGTGCAACTGCGACTTAATGCGATACACTGTGCATCTTCGGGTTACATGTATCTCTCATGTATATATATTCATAAACATGAACTGCAGTGAAATTTAGCACCGCATTCGAAGTGCAGCTTAATTTTCGCTCTCGGATAAAGTTTGAAATTCTTTAGTTTTGCTCTTCTTTTGAATATAATGCACTTGTTGCTGAAGTGCAGCAGCTACAACAACAACAACAACAACAGACGCCAGCGGATGCAATTCAATACAAACAAAAAAAATGGTTTTGCGAAAATCCAGAATAAATGCCCAAAAAACATGAAAACAGGTCTTTAAAGCCGACGGTCAAACTGCATCAAGAAAAAGGCGAGCTATATAAGAACATAGCAATGCATATATATATATATATATATACAGATATATATATATATATATTTATATATGTTTATATACACATATATACTATGTGTGTGTATGTGTGTGTGTATTATTGGGGTTTGGCAATGCAGTTGCTAAGCTTTTGCTTGCTGCGGTGAATGCATTTTATGCGGTTGCTGTTGTTGTTGCTGCTCCTTGCATTTTTATACTCTTGCTAAGGGCAGTATAATAATGTCATGTTATGTGTAACACAAACCTTAGACATTAGGTATATATATTCTTGATCAATATCAACAGCCAAGGCGATAAAGCCTAGTCTAGGTAGGCGGAACAGGCTGGATCTGACTATTTGAGAAATAAATTATATATATATCTCCTTGCCTCATTGTCATATCATATAATTTTTATACTTTTAACTTTACATTCTTTTCTTATTTATTCGCTTGGAAGAGATCAGAAGGCACTGCTCGATTCCAGCGCAAACTAAAACATATTTAATTAAAAAAAGAAAAAGTTATATAAGTTTCAGTTAAGGTTTAGAATAAACAGTGTACTACATCATATTGCTGATATAGGAACTATAATGTTTAGTTTTCAATAATGCCAATTTGCGTCCAAGTCTTTGGTAAGGATATTAAAGCTTCGGTTTGGAGTTGATAGTTGTTTTTCTTGTTGTTGTCGCTCTTGTCGTTTGCTTTGCTCCTTCAAACCCAATTTTGCTGCTGATGTTGTTGTTATTGTTGTTGTTGCTTTGTAAACACTGTGGAATTTCAAGCATTTGCGCGCGCAAAAACTTTTAGTACAGTAAACACTCGAAATTTGTGAAACTACGCAGACTACTCAGCCATATGATGCGGAAAAACTAAATCAATAATAACAGACGAGACAATAACAAAAACAAAAACAACGTGGAAAGCAGTCAGAATAACTAGCAGCAACTACAACAATAACAACAACAAAAACAACAGCTAGTATTTAAATTATATAAAAGAAACAAGAAAAATCGTTTAACTTTGGCACGCCGAAGAATAAATACAGTTTAATGAGAATATCACGAAAAGTAGAAGAGTTTACCAAACAAACAAATCTATATATTGGTCCAGACAGCTAGAAAAACAAAATAGATTTTCATATCATTCATGATTGAGAAAGACGAACCTGGTCAAAGTATCCTGCAATAGCTTTAGAAATAAAAAACAATCGCACTTGACCATATCGATTCGGCTATTGATCAAGAATATACTCTATGAAACTGGGAACGTCTTTTTCAATGCGTTACACATTTGTCGACAAATATTATAATACCCTCTGCAAGGGTATGAAAAAACCCACTGACTGCGCCAGATCTAAAAATAGCCAAGCTTCTTGCGTCTTGCACGAGGCACGACAGGAATGCAGCTCCAATGCAAGTGCGTGTGCTGCACTTGGACGTGGTCCGCGGCGGCTACGTCTGCCAATCTGTGTGTGTATGTGTGTGTGTGCAGACAGCGTCTGGCTGGCCGGGTTAACCTGGAAAGCCACTGGCCAGGCAACCGAGCGGCCAACAGGCCAAGCCGCGCAACCGTCATATAAAATGTCGCAACGCATGTTAACGCAATAATTTTTTTTATGCCCTGAACCCATTGCAAACGGGCAACAAGGGTATTATGGTTATGCGCAAATATATGTAACAGACAGTTGGAGGCATCTCCGTACTTGATTAATCAAAATAGGAACTTAGCTTCTAATGTCCAAGTAGTTCAAGTTAGTATCAAGTCAATATAATTTGCCGCGCTTGCACGAAATATACATAAGCTGACTATACACATATAATATAAAATGGCGGGTATTCCCCGGCATTGTCCGTGCTAAGTATAAAATAAAGAAACAAAAATCCAATTGGGAGTGCGAAATGTTGACCTATGTCTATATAGGATATTTGAGGGAACCATTTTTATATGAATTTTGACCAAGAATAATGTTGCCAGATTTAGAAGGTACCTTGTAGTCGGACACACCCGATTAGAGAACTCTTGTTTTATTTTTGTTGCATCGCTGGCCACCTCCCACCTCCCACCAAGCGTTGCCTGCTGGCTGCTGGCTGCTGGCTGCTCCTCGCGATGGTGAACATGAACCATGACGCAGTAGGTCATTAATTGTTTACGTAGAAATGTACAATGTCTGGCGCGGCACAGGTAAAACGCACAGCTAGTGCGCGCTGAAGCAGGCTAATTTAGGGCTAGGGTTAGCAGCCTGAAGGCAGCAGCACTTTAGCTGGTTGCAAAGGCATTGACAATTTGTGGTTTTTGGATGGGAAGTGGAGAGGGCAAAGGGGAGTGGGGGTGCGCCTCAAGGACGTTGCCAAGTTGAGCAAATTAGGATGCTTGAGTTAAGCTAACAGCCGCCACATGCACAAGTCACACTCCAGTCACGTTTCGCTACGTTTGCGCCTACTCAATGCAATTGTTGCATGTCTGGCCGGCCGGCTGTCAGTCTGTCGGTCTGTCTGTCTGTCTGTCTGTCAGTCTGTGCGGCCCGTCTGCATATGTTGGCTTGAGCACGTCCTTAATGTCATGACGATGACGGCAGCAGCCAAAATAAAACAAATGCCAAACTAGCGCGCCAAACAAACTGCAAGTCACAAGGCAGAAACAGGCAGAGCCAGGCAGGCTGAAAAACAGACAAACAGACAGAGAGACAGACAGAGAGACAGACAGACAGATGGACAGACGGGCCGCAGCTGAAGACAAACGCGACTGCATTATGCAGCAAACCTACCTAAAGCTCGCGCACCTGCCTCTGCAACGGCCGCAGTGGCAGTAACATTGCAGACAACGACAGCGATGACAGGACAGCAGCAGCAACAACAACAACATCAACAGCCACAGCAGCAACAGGTTCTTTATTTTTAGTAGTCGCATTTTGAAAACCGCCTGCTCAATGTCAACTCAACGTTTGAGACTTAATTGTTGCCTCTTTGCAGTATTTTTTTAACAAAACATTCTTTGTGCCTGACTGGCGGCTGTTGTTGTTGTTGTTGCTATTACTGCTGTTGCTGCCGTTGTGGTTGCATCATGTGGCTTGAAGCATGTGCTTCATTGAAGTGCATACATTCGAGGCTGCTAACAATGATTCTTCTAAAATACTTAACTTGCCCAGCAGTTATTTGTGCGTTATTTAATTGAAAAATTTGTTCGTTTATATATTTGCAGCATTCATCAATTGTTGTCGCGCTTGTTGCTGTTGTTGCTTGCCTTGTCATGCAGCAGCATCAAACAAACAGTCAGAACAATTTGACATTTCTAAAATCAAATTACAAATACAAGCGCAGAAACATGCTGGCAATGCGCGCACTTCCGTTCGCAGCGCGTAAGCCAAACCAATTAGCGGCAACATTGTCAAAGACGTCAGCAACAGCAGCGGCAACAGCAGCGGCAACAGCAGCAACAGCAACACCAGCAGCAGCAGCAACAGGGGCAGCAACAACTGTCCGCAAATGTAGCACAATTCTAAGTTTATTTATAGTAATCATATGGAAAGCTTTGCAGCCAATGGCCAATTGCCTGCTCTATGCTGCCCGCATAATTGCCAATGACAATGATGATGATGTTGCTGATGATGATGTTGCTGATGATGATGATGATGATGATGAGGGGAATGCGTATGTGAGTGCTGGCCATGACCATGACGTCAATACACAAATACAAACACATTTACGCAATACGCAAGCCGGCAACAAGCACGACAACATTGACGCTAATGACGAGGTGTCAACGGCACGTGAACGACAACAACAACAACAGCAGCCACATTTATCTAGTTCTAGTCCACAAAAGAGCAGCCGCTGCACGACAACAGCAGCAGCTACAACAACAACAGCATCTACAACAACAACAACAACAATGCGAGCCATGTTGCCGGCAGCAACCGCGTCTGGACTGCCATTGATGACTTTGTTAATTGCATTGCTGCTGAGCATGCGCCTCGCATCGGGTAAGTCGCATCCGTCAGATACATTTCACACAGTCTTCGATTCCATTCAGCATGACCCAAAATTAAAATTATTGCCCCACTCACACGCAAGCCAAGAATATTTAAGTGGCGCCAGTTCGTTGAAACGAGTAGCATTTTATGCCCTTTTATAGAGAGAATATTTTATTTTATCGCAAAGCACATTCCCCAAACGTATATATACATATACATATGAAACCGAGTCAATATAGACGAGTCTCTCAACTATAAAGTCCTTGCAGAAATAATTATTGCAAACATATTAATAATATCTGGTTATCTCTTGATATCTTGAATAAATCCTTACCTCTATCGTACTACAATATCATTTGGCCCTATATTAAAAGTCAATCGAAAATTAGTTTCACTTGACCGGAAATAAAGCTTTCGTACCTCCACGTCAACAAGGGTATTGTATCTTCGGCAGTTTGAAGATTCCCGTTTTTTTTCTTGTTAGCATACATTTCGGAATCTCCGTATCTTTGCATATATATTTGCTTGTTGTGCGTTCATTCGCCTCGACATGTACGATAAATGTGACACATTATACCCAAATATGACGCAATTTTTCAGCACATTCTTATTTGTTTATCCCATGTGCTAAATCAATCAAAGGAAAACAAAAAGAGAAATATGGTTTCAACTGCAAAAAAATAAATGTAATAAATTGCAAAACAAATTTTCGGCTTCGCCTGCCATTTATTAGCAGCCTTTTTAGTTCCTATTTACTTAATTTTTTTTTTGTAGTTTGATCAGAGGAACGCAAATATTAAAAACGAATCGCAGATATTTCAGGCCGTGTGCTTGAGTGTCTTTCTGCCCGCGTTTGCAAAAAATATTTGATCAATTTATCAGAGCAAAAAATGCGGACTGAGAGTTTTTGCGAGCAGCTAATAGAGTTGTTTAGCAAAAATTCCTTGTATACAAATAACAAATGCGTTGCCATACAACTATGCAAAGACATTAACATGTAAAGGCCATAATAAATCTTACAAAATAAATAATTGCTGCTTTAAGCAAATGCATATCAACATTAGTTAATATGTATATAACTCAAGCTCAACTCACAAGCTGTTAACAGAAGTTTTCAAGTTCAGATTGTTTATGAAAGAAAACAACTTTGAGAGTAGTAGAATTCGTAGTAAAGAATTTAACAATTATAGTATTAAATCCACTTTTACCCTAGCTAGACGAAAGTCAATTTAACTTGAACGAAACGTTTTTCGACTGCCGTTCTATGCGATTCTCGTGAATTCAAGTAACGTAAAATAAACAGTTTCTCACTCTCGCTTACAAGTTTTAATACCTTTTCTAATGATATTCAAGAATAGTGATATTTTACAACGTTTTGTTCTTGTTCGTTTCGTTGCAGCTGGCACTTGCTGGCAGACACATCTGGACAGTGGGAAATGCAATCAAATATTTTCAACAAACATCACAAAATCGGATTGCTGTGGCGCCAGTCAGACCTTCTCGTACACGGATCGCGAGCTGAGCAGCGTTGAGCATTTCTTTGCAACAGCTATCGGAAATGGAGTTGAGTGTGCGCCTTGCCTAGGTGAGTGTCGCAAACATTGAAAAACATACGAAATGTCTGATGCCTGAAATGGCAGCAGATGCTATAAACTTGTTCAAACATTATTGCGAACTTTGCAGAGACCTGCAAGGGATTTAAATGTGGGCCAAACAAAAAGTGTGTGAAGCGCAAGGGCAGGCCCAAATGTGTCTGCGCACCCGATTGTGGAGCAACGTTACGCCGAAAGCAGCAGCAGCAGCAGCAGCAGCAGCAGCAACAGCAGCAGCAGAAGCAGCAGCAGCAGCAACAGCAGCAACATCGCAATGCACCAGAGCAACAGCAGCAACAACAACAGTGGGCGTCGTCGTTGTTGTTGTTGTCGCCGCGCGGTTCACGTAGTCTAAGTAGCGAAATTACAAACAGCAATTTAGGTTTAGATGGCGCTAAACGCCAGCATAAACATAGCGACAATAACAACAGCAACCGCGCTGATAACCAAAGAAAACAACAGCAGCAACAGCAACAAAGCCAAGAGAAGAGCATGCCAAAGCGAGCAAGTCATAGAACAGGAATGAGGCAGGGCGAAACGAGGCACAGAAGACTTTTGATTATAGACAGCAGCAATTTGCAAGAGCAGCCCACAACCAGACGACTGCACATGGAGGACAGCAGCAGCAGCAGCGGCAGCAGCGACGGCGGCGGCGGCGGCAGCGGCAGCGGCAAAGTGCAAATGCAGATGAAGGTAGAAATGGAGAGAATGACGCCGCCGTGGGGCAGCGAGCGGCGCAGACATAGAAAAAATAACAGCAGCAGCAACAACAATGGCAAACACTTAACAAGATCAATGACGACGGCAACAGCAACAGCAACAGGAGCCAATGACTCGTCCACGACGCCTGCGCAGACGACGGCTCAGTCTAGACACAAGTTGGCAAATGCTAATGAACCCGCCAACGACATTAATAGACAGTCGCGGCAAGACAATGCGCCAGCACGAGGCAGACACCAACATCAACAGCAGCAGCAGCAGCAGCAGCAGCAGCAACATGCTCCAAATCACGAGCAACAACAATACGACAATGGAACGCAGCAGCGCAGGCGTAAGCACAAGCACAACCACAAGGATCAGCGGCGCACAAATACCACAATGTCTGGCTCTGGCTCTGGCTTGGGCTCTGGCTCGGGCGGACGTCGTCGTTTGTATCTGGCTGAACACGGAAGTGAAACGGCTGCGTCATCGGGCAACAGTCACGGCCACTTGGCTAATGTCGATGATTTAGCATTTCTGACTGGAATTTATGAAGCAGCGCCAGTGGTAAGTTCTCTGTGTAAAACTATTGCATACTCTTTGGGTGCATCTCTCTCTCTCCCTCTCTCTATCTCTCTCTCTCTCTCTGTGTCTGCAATCAGTTACAGCAGCAACACACGAATCCGGTTTGCGGCAACGATGGACGCACCTACAACACCGAATGCCAGCTGCGCAAACGCGCCTGCCGCACAAACAACGCCCAACTAGAGGTCGCCTATCGCGGCCACTGCAAGAGTGAGTACTATGAGTATTATTGAAAGTACTATGAGTATTAGTGTGAGTACTATGAGAATTAGTGTGAGTACTATGAGTATTAGTGTGCCTGTGTGAGTGTGTGCTCGCGTGCCAAAACGCAGCAGCGTCACAATTAGATTAGATGACAAATTATTGCACATTTCAATTACGGCCAACAACTTGTCGCCAGTGGGGAAATCAACCGAGGCCCAATGGCCAGACAGACGAGGCAAGCGACCGAACGGACAGACGAATCGATCGAGCGGAGCCGCTCGCTTCTGTAATAATTTAATGATACAGGAAGCACTCGCAAACATGCTCAAATGATCAATAAAAACGTACAAGAACGATGGAGGACCCAACTGTATTGCGAGGCCACAAGAACTTGTTGGATTAGCCGCAAGCGGCAAGCGCGGCCTGTCGCCTCTTGTTGCCGTGGCAAGACATAAAACGGCAGTGGCAGCAGCAGCACCAGCACCAGCAGCAGCATCTAACGTTGGCGCGTGCCGACATTGCAGCTCCAATTCCAACTTCAGCTTTTGTGGAATGTGCAATCGGGCAATCTGAAGATCTGGCCATGCAGATCTCTCGCTCTCGCCTTTCTCCCTCCTTCCTCCTCCCTCTCTCTCCAACTCGCAATACTCACTCGTAATTTTGTGCAGAAAAATGAATGCAATTTTTAGCAAGTGTCACAGTTGGCGCCAAGGCGTTTCAACGGCCCATGCGCAAAATGATAAATTTGACAGTTTATAGCCAGCCATATAGAGTATATATATATATATGTGTGTGTGTGTGTGTGTGTGAGTGCGTGTGTATGTATATGTGTGCGCGCTTTTGGCGCTAATCATAGAAATTGGCAAACAGTTTATTTATAGCATAATCAGCATATAAACGCATATGTAGCCACATATATTACAAAGTTGCATAGGCAAGGTAATTGCTAAATGTCTTCCTATATAACCAATGAATTTTCAGGTATTTATATATATACAAATTTAACAAGTTTGGCAGATTCATATACGCATGTAGCTGCTGCCAAGAAGCTGCCAATTGGCTACCTTTGGCATACTCTGAAGGCCAATCGGCTGCAGATCGTAATTGCTTCTCATGATCGCAGTCGGGATAGATTTAGATTTAAGGATTTCGATTACGATACTTTTGTAATATGCTACACAGTATTTTGACTCCATATTATGAGAAACCTCATTTCATTTGAAATCCCCCACAGCGAGCTGCAATGGTGTTCAATGTCTGAACGGACTGACCTGTGTGGAGGATCAGTATATGATGCCGCATTGTATAACATGCAAAATCGAATGTCCCTGGGATGATATGGCATACGATCTGAATGACGATGGGCAGCCGGATGAGGCGGCAACAATTGCTGAGGAGCGTGCGGTTTGCGGCATCGATGGCAACACATACAGGAGCACTTGTGATATAAATCGTATGATTTGCAAAATTGGACGATCAATTGCAGTGGCATATCCGGGACCGTGTCGTGGTATGTACAACTACAACTACAACTACAACTCATGCGTATAATTTTTATACTTTTTCATGATTGATAAGCTTTAAAACTCAATCAAATTAATTGAAAGTCGCAGCCAAGTGCAGGCACGCAAATTATTGCTAGCAATTGCAGTGGTTGCTGTTGTTGTTGGGATGCTATTGCTGTTGCTGTTTCAGTTGCAGTTGCTCTTGCTGTTGCTGTTGTCGGCAACTATGGCGGCTGTGCAAATTTAACAACAATCAACGCAGAACCGCAATTTTGCATTTGATTGACTTGACTTGGCTGAGGTTTCAAGTCGACTCACAACCGCAAGTGGTTGTTGCTGTTGCTGTTGTTGCTGTTGTTGCTGTTGTTGCTGCTGTTGCTGCTGTCGTGTTGTCGTCTGCAACTGCCGTGCCATATCAAGTTGCGCTCGGTGTTTGTTGGCTGAAATTGCTACATTTGCTTATACGGCTCCATGATTGCCAGCAATTTGATTAGCCAGTTGCTGTTGCCGTTGCAGTTGTTGTTGTTGTTGTTGTTGTTGTTGCTGTCAGCATTGCTCTACTTTGACTGTCGCGCATCCACAACGACATCTCTCTCGCTCGGCATAATTCATGCTTATTAATTTTGTGGTTACATTTGCGATTGATCGACTCCGATTTCCAATTAATTACATGCAAACAGCTGCCGCTGAACGCCTACAATGGGATGTTTCTGCTGCTGAGATGCAGCAAAAAAAGCAACAACAACAACAACAACAACAACAGCAGCAGCAGCAGTCGCCTTTGCCGCCTTAGTGTCAGTCGCCGCACCAATTAAAGGCGTGGCGGGTGTTGCATTCTCGCGCGCCATATCTGAACAACAGACAGACAGACGGACAGACTGCCCAAACTGGTTTAGTGTGTCAGAGGCGGCTGGCCGGCTGCAATTGCGTGCTAATTGCAGTGTTTTGTTGCAAATTACAGCGTGTAATTAATGTTGAAGAAAATACAAATTATAACTACAACTAAAACAAAAGGCAAACCAACTAAAATCACAAGTCCACGTCCGAGCAGCTGCTCACGAAAAAGCCTCGACAATTATAAATCATTTAATTTTTTGATTTGATTTATAATTTTAAATGAAAACTAGATACAATTTTCTTCATGTTATTTCATTAATTTACCATTTCTTACTTTCTAAGCACAGCACAGTCTAAGACCGATATGCTGGAAGAAAAGTAAATATCGTTTTTACTGATTTTGGTGTATATAATTAAAAAAACAACGCATTAAAGAAAAAACTTACTTTCAACATATTCTTCCTATATCTTTCTTACTATTTGGGTTTAGGGCATAATTGTTTCTCGAATTTATAAATTTACTATACTAGCAGGTTCATGAAAATGAGTTTGAAACCGATCAGCGGTTGACCAATTAACCATTTAGAAAGCCAAGCCTCATAAAAATCTGATGAGAATTTACCGAGTTATGGGAGTGGGAAATTTCGACCTATGGGTATATACGAATATAAGGGGTAAGATTTTGATATAAATTTCGACCAAAAATGATGTATTCAGATTTGAATGCCAGATTAATCTGGAGGGAAAACTATTCATAAAAAGCCAAGCCCCATGAAAATCTGATGAGTTTTGACCGGGTTATGGGGGTGGGAAGTTACGCCCTATGTCCATATACGAATATAAGAGGCAATAGTTTAACATGAATTTTGACCAAAAATTATGTATTCAGATTTGGATGCCAGATTAATCTAGAGGGAAAACTTTTCATAAAAAGCCAAGCCCCATGAAAATCGGAAGAGTTTTGACCGGGTTATGGGGGTAGGAAACTTCGAAACATGTCTATATAGGAATATAAGGGGTAAGATTTTGACATGAATTTCGACCAAAAATTATGTATTCAGATTTGGATGCCAGATTTATCTAGAGGGAAAACTATTAATAAAAAGCCAAGCCCCATGAAAATCTGATGAGTTTTGACCGGGTTATGGGGGTGGGAAGTTACACCCTATGTCCATATACGAATATAAAGGGCAACATTTTGACATGAATTTCGACCGAAAATTATGTATTCAGATTTGGATGCCAGATTAATCTAGAGGGAAAACTATTCATAAAAAGCCAAGCCCCATGAAAATCTGATGAGTTTTGACCGGGTTATGGGGGTGGGAAGTTACGCCCTATGTCCATATACGAATATAAGAGGCAATAGTTTAACATGAATTTCGACCAAAAATTATGTATTCAGATTTGGATGCCAGATTAATCTAGAGGGAAAACTTTTCATAAAAAGCCAAGCCCCATGAAAATCTGATGCGTTTTGACCGGGTTATGGGGGTAGGAAACTTCGAAAAATGTCTATATACGAATATAAGGGGTAAGATTTTGGCATGAATTTCGACCAAAAATTATGTATGCAGATTTGGATGCTAGATTAATCTAGAGGGAAAACTCTTCATAAAAAGCCAAGCCCCATGAAAATCTGATGAGTTTTGACCGGGTTATTGGGGTAGGAAACTTCGAAACATGTCTATATACGAATATAAGGGGTAAGATTTTGGCATGAATTTCGATCAAAAATTATGTATTCAGATTTGGATGCCAGATTAATCTAGAAGGAAAACTATTCATAAAAAACCAAGCCCCATGAAAATCTGATGAGTTTTGACCGGGTTATGGGGGTGGGAAGTTACGCCCCATGTCTATATACGAATATAAGGGGTAAGATTTTGACATGAATTTCGACCAAAAATTATGTATTCAGATTTGGATGCCAGATTTATCTAGAGGGAAAACTATTCATAAAAAGCCAAGCCCCATGAAAATCGGATGAGTTTTGACCGGGTTATGGGGGTGGGAAGTTACGCCCTATGTCCATATACGAATATAAGGGGCACCATTTTGACATGAATTTCGACCAAAAATTATGTATTCAGATTTGGATGCTAGATTAATCTAGAGGGAAAACTATTTATAAAAAGCCAAGGCCCATGAAAATCTGATGAGTTTTGACCGGGTTATGGGGGTGGGAAATTTTGCCCCATGTCTATATACGAATATAAGGGGTAAGATTTTGACATGAATTTCGACCAAAAATTATGTATTCAGATTTGGATGCCAGATTAATCTAGAGGGAAAACTATTCATAAAAAGCCAAGCCCCATGAAAATCTGATGAGTTTTGACCGGGTTATGGGGGTGGGAAGTTACGCCCTATGTCCATATACGAATATAAGAGGCAATATTTTAACATGAATTTCGACCAAAAATTATGTATTCAGATTTGGATGCCAGATTAATCTAGAGGGAAAACTTTTCATAAAAAGCCAAGCCCCATGAAAATCTGATGAGTTTTGACCGGGTTATGGGGGTAGGAAACTTCGAAAAATGTCTATATACGAATATAAGGGGTAAGATTTTGGCATGAATTTCGACCAAAAATTATGTATTCAGATTTGGATGCTAGATTAATCTAGAGGGAAAACTCTTCATAAAAAGCCAAGCCCCATGAAAATCTGATGAGTTTTGACCGGGTTATTGGGGTAGGAAACTTCGAAACATGTCTATATACGAATATAAGGGGTAAGATTTTGGCATGAATTTCGATCAAAAATTATGTATTCAGATTTGGATGCCAGATTAATCTAGAAGGAAAACTATTCATAAAAAACCAAGCCCCATGAAAATCGGATGAGTTTTGACCGGGTTATGGGGGTGGGAAGTTACGCCCTATGTCCATATACGAATATAAGGGGCAACATTTTGACATGAATTTCGACCAACAATTATGTATTCAGATTTGGATGCTAGATTAATCTAGAGGGAAAACTATTCATAAAAAGCCAAGCCCCATGAAAATCTGATGAGTTTTGACCGGGTTATGGGGGTGGGAAATTTTGCCCCATGTCTATATACGAATATAAGGGGTAAGATTTTGACATGAATTTCGACCAAAAATTATGTATTCAGATTTGGATGCCAGATTTCTCTAGAGGGAAAACTATTCATAAAAAGCCAAGCCCCATGAAAATCGGATGAGTTTTGACCGGGTTATGGGGGTGGGAAGTTACGCCCTATGTCCATATACGAATATAAGGGGCACCATTTTGACATGAATTTCGACCAAAAATTATGTATTCATATTTGGATGCTAGATTAATCTAGAGGGAAAACTATTTATAAAAAGCCAAGGCCCATGAAAATCTGATGAGTTTTGACCGGGTTATGGGGGTGGGAAATTTTGCCCCATGTCTATATACGAATATAAGGGGTAAGATTTTGACATGAATTTCGACCAAAAATTATGTATTCAGATTTGGATGCCAGATTTATCTAGAGGGAAAACTATTCATAAAAAGCCAAGCCCCATGAAAATCGGATGAGTTTTGACCGGGTTATGGGGGTGGGAAGTTACGCCCTATGTCCATATACGAATATAAGGGGCACCATTTTGACATGAACTTCGACCAAAAATTATGTATTCAGATTTGGATGCCAGATTTATCTAGAGGGAAAACTATTCATAAAAAGCCAAGCCCCATGAAAATCGGATGAGTTTTGACCGGGTTATGGGGGTGGGAAATTTTGCCCCATGTCTATATACGAATATAAGGGGTAAGATTTTGACATGAATTTCGACCAAAAATTATGTATTCAGATTTGAATGCCAGATTAATCTAGAGGGAAAACTATTCATAAAAAGCCAAGCCCCATGAAAATCTGATAAGTTTTGACCGGGTTATGGGGGTGGGAAATTTTGCCCCATGTCTATATACGAATATAAGGGGTAAGATTTTGACATGAATTTCGACCAAAAATTATGTATTCAGATTTGGATGCCAGATTTATCTAGAGGGAAAACTATTCATAAAAAGCCAAGCCCCATGAAAATCGGATGAGTTTTGACCGGGTTATGGGGGTGGGAAGTTACGCCCTATGTCCATATACGAATATAAGGGGCACCATTTTGACATGAATTTCGACCAAAAATTATGTATTCAGATTTGGATGCTAGATTAATCTAGAGGGAAAACTATTTATAAAAAGCCAAGGCCCATGAAAATCTGATAAGTTTTGACCGGGTTATGGGGGTGGGAAATTTTGCCCCATGTCTATATACGAATATAAGGGGTAAGATTTTGACATGAATTTCGACCAAAAATTATGTATTCAGATTTGGATGCCAGATTTATCTAGAGGGAAAACTATTCATAAAAAGCCAAGCCCCATGAAAATCGGATGAGTTTTGACCGGGTTATGGGGGTGGGAAATTTTGCCCCATGTCTATATACGAATATAAGGGGTAAGATTTTGACATGAATTTCGACCAAAAATTATGTATTCAGATTTGAATGCCAGATTAATCTAGAGGGAAAACTATTCATAAAAAGCCAAGCCCCATGAAAATCTGATGAGTTTTGATCGGGTTATGGAGGTGGGAAGTTACGCCCTATGTCCATATACGAATATAAGGGGCACCATTTTGACATGAATTTCGACCAAAAATTATGTATTCAGATTTGGATGCTAGATTAATCTAGAGGGAAAACTATTTATAAAAAGCCAAGGCCCATGAAAATCTGATGAGTTTTGACCGGGTTATGGGGGTAGGAAACTTCGAAAAATGTCTATATACGAATATAAGGGGCACCATTTTGACATGAATTTCGACCAAAAATTATGTATTCAGATTTGGATGCTAGATTAATCTAGAGGGAAAACTATTTATAAAAAGCCAAGGCCCATGAAAATCTGATGAGTTTTGACCGGGTTAAGGGGGTAGGAAACTTCGAAACATATCTATATACGAATATAAGGGGTAAGATTTTGGCATGAATTTCGATCAAAAATTATGTATTCAGATTTGGATGCCAGATTAATCTAGAAGGAAAACTATTCATAAAAAACCAAGCCCCATGAAAATCTGATGAGTTTTGACCGGGTTATGGCGGTAGGAAACTTCGAAAAATGTCTATATACGAATATAAGGGGTAATATTTTGACATGAATTTCGAGCTAAAATTATGTATTCAGATTTCGTTGCCAGATTAATCTAGAAGGAAAACTATTTATAAAAAGCCAAGCCCCATGAAGATCGGATGAGTTTTGACCGGGTTACGGGGGCGGGAAATTTCGAACTATGTCCATGTGAGATAATTGAGGGTACCATTTTCAAATGAATTTTGACTAACAATACTGTTGCCTGATTTAGATGTTCGATTGATCGAGAGTTCAAACAATTTACAAAAACCAAACCTCATGAAAATCTGATGTGTTTTGACCTATGTCGATATGGGACATTTCACATGAATTTTGCCCAACAATAATGTTGCAATATTTAGTCTTAAGTCAATTTAAATAACTCTATTCATTTGGCAGCTGCCTGACTTACTCATAGCCCAGCCGTTATGCATTCATGTATTCATTCATACTTTAAGACGACTTTTCAAGGCTGTTGCCCCAACTACGCCATTAGTTTGCCTGTCTGCGCTAAAAGAAACTCATAAATTTTGCACACCTTTTGGTGCAACCTGCCACCCTGCTCAAGTTGTTGCACGGTAGCCGGATATTAAAATAAATTAACATCATTAACAATTATTCACTTTTGCTTTTAGCACAAAGGTTTGCGTGTGTGCGTGCGTGTGTGCGTGCAGTTTGTTTGTTTGTTGCCTGCTGATGATCTTGGCATGCAGAGGCTTCAGTTGCTGCTCCTGCTCCTCCATTGCAGCCAGCTCCTGCTCCTCCTTGCCAGCCAGCTTCTGTTCCTGCTGCCGCCGTCTGTTGCGCTGTCCTCGACTTCATGTTGATCATCAGACGATAAAATAATACATATATATACACACACGCGCGCACACACACACACACACACTCAAAAGGTCTCAGTTTGTGTTTTGTGCGTTTTTGAGCATTTTATCTTTATGGTTAGTAAGTTTATGGTTTTCGTGTGCTTGTGTGCTTTCACATAAATATTTTCCTGTGCCCCGATCAAGAGCCCATAAGAGCCCCCAAAAACGAGCACAACCACAGACGCAGCCTGGGCAAGTTTGCCCCTAAGAAATATGACTACACGTACAAGCCATTAAAAACGCCATTTTCGCGATGACGGGGCGATGGGAGACGGCAGACAGGGAGTTGGGAGACGGCAGACGGGTGTACGGAGATGGGGGCGACGCAGGTTCTGTGATTGCAACTGCTCGTCCGGTTCGGTTCAGTTCGGTTGAGTCTCGCTTGTGTCCCTAGTCCCCACAACACCCCCCTCCATCGACCGCTGTTCGCGACGTCACTTTTGTCTGGCTCAGCGTCTGCTGGCTGCGTCTGGGCCGGCTGAAGTTTACGATCGTATTAAAATCACCTTAAACAACACGCAATGCCAAAATGGCCAGACAGCTGAGCCCAGTCCAGTCAAGTCCAGTCCAGTCCACATTGTGTATGTGACCCATACGACCACAACGAATCTCTGGCCATGCCACACAATGTTGCAATAAGTTCCGCCAGCCAACAGCAGCAGCAGCAGCAGCAGCAGCGGCGTTGACTTAGACGCGTCTGTAAAAACCGGATGGACGCAGGCTGCCGCTGGCGTTGATTAAACCACGTCGACATAACAAATTACAGTTGGCTTGCATTGTGACGGCATTATCAGCCGGCGCAGCCATGCCGCCCAGCACCAACAACATACATATCCATCACAATCAACAAGTACAAGTGCGTTGGGGCGTGGCCGCGTGCAGCGGGCCAAAGGACGTTGCCAGACTACAGCGAAAATTGGCACTTGAAATTAATAAACTTTAACTGTTTCGAATTGCGAGGCGGTCAACCTTTCACGCAACGTCGCCAGAGCCATGGCCAGAGCCAGGAGCTATGCTGAGTATATCTGCAGCTGCCCCGCTGACTCAACTGCCCCCCCCCCTCCCCTTCCATCGTCCTTAACCAATAAGCAATTGCGCACATTTGCCGCGGGGCAACATTTTGCAACATTGTTGCTAAGTTTCAATATGTGCATGTGTGTGTTTGGTGCGGCTGCGCAGCTTGGCTGCCTTGCCTTGCCTTGCCTTGCGTTGACTTGACTTGGCTTGGCTACCGTCTTGCGCATGTCAGGAATGGGGCGGGCTCTTCCATACATTATATGTACGTGTACACATGGCCATTGCCTGTGGTGTGAATAATGTGGCAGCGTTGAAAATTGCAGTGTGCCACAATAACAACAACAAAAACAACGAAAACAACACCCAATTTAAAAAGCCAAAATAGCTGTAAGCGTTGTTTAAGAATCGTTCGGCAACATGCATAGATAAGTCATAAAAGCACTCACCCTTAAAATACTCTGTAAACTGGACATTTTATAATAAGCACTGTTTTAAGCCATTGTTTTAAGCTTCACATATCTTTTTATTAAACATAATTCTCAACGAAATTAGCGAAATTTAACACTTCCAAATCCGAATCACACTTTATTATATAATAACTATGTTGCCACCTTGTCTAAAACAATGCAATGTAAAGCATATGTAAAGTACATAGGCAATTAATCATAGCCTCCTGAACATAATTAGGCGTTGCCAGCATATTTTAACATTTCTAATGATATTAAAATATCAGGAAATGTAAGCATGTTGTTTACTTATGTTAATAATATAAATATGTGTACCTACATATGTATGTATGTGTATACATATATGCATGCACAAGACTTGTTTACTATGTCAGGGTATAAAATCATGCACACGCACACACGAATTTCGTGGCTTTACCAGCTGCCAGTCGCCATCAAGAAATCTGGAAACAACACCTGCCAAAGTTCACATGATTTTTGGCCAGGATATGCGCGAGGGGCCATTAAACGAGCAACTGAAATTGCCAGACATAAAAAGTCAGGGAATGCAAAAACTAAAAAAAAAAAACAAACTTGAGTGGAGCTGCTTTAAATGTATGACTCGTAAAATTTATTTTTTGCAGCGGACCGCCTCACCTGTGCGGACATCAAGTGCGGCCCAAAGGATACTTGCCTTGTGGACCTGCAGACGCACATGCCGCGTTGCGTCTCTTGCCGCTACAAGTGCGCACGCAAGCAACAGCGAACGGTAAGCTGGTCACAAAAATAAAGGGAAATAACTTAATATCGGGAAATAATTCTTATACCTACCCACTTAGCAATACCGGGCGGATAAAATCTGTGGCTACAACAATCACACTTATAATTCATGGTGCGAGATGCGCAAGGATTCGTGTGCCACGGGCTATTTCATAGGCGTTCGAGCGACGGGCGTATGTTAGATCAAATTAGCGAAATATTATCAAAAACAAACAACACATTAGCATATATACTAACATATATATAGAGCGTATATATAGCGCATCTCTGTGTAGTTCCAACATCCAAAGATTCTCGTTGTGCGTTTTGTTTAGTGTTGTAAACCGATGCAAGGGCCTTAGGCTGCTGCCAGCATTCAATACAAGCATAGAGTAACTCCATATACACACACACACACACACACATATGCACTTGGCTAAGTATTAGCGCATTTATCAACACAATCGACAACCAGAACAACAAAAAAAACAACACGTTTAATATATTAAAACAATTCTTATGCAACATCCATGGTAAGAGAAAACCACATATCTTAAGAGGCTTTTGTATTAAACATATAAACATAACCATAAAACTAATTCATAATTAATTTATATACAAATTGGTTGGCACACGCATTTCGTTTACGTTTATAGTTTAGCTTTTACCACAATCTAAACAAAATGTATTTTATTTATTTTAGTTTTTAAACATATTTTTTCCACGTTTTTTTTTTTTTGTAACTATTGTGTGTTTGAGCGAAGCTAAATTAATTAATTGACTGATAGCTTAACCTTATATAGCAAGATTTTCGAATTACAGAATATGATATGCACACCCTTGTATACTTTATATATAGATATATCTTATATATATATTGTATACCTATGAGTACACATATTTTATGAGTAATTGTTAATTAAATGTGTTTCAAAACTTAAATCAAACTGCGTTTTTAATCGCTCTCATCGGACTCCACAAATATGTCATTCGCGCGCTGATATCGCGCCTGTGTTATCTTCAAATTGGCCAATTTTCGCTTATCCATGGACCGCGGGGCATTCTTCGCCAGCGGCTCGCTGCTGCCCAGGCCGGTGGTGCCCTCGTTGGCCACCACATTGATCTGTTGGAAAAAAAAAACATAAATAATGGATAACATTTTGATTGGCATTCGACTTACAGGCGTTAAGAGGCCCTGATTGCTTTTGCCCAGCGTCTCGCCCTTTTGCCAGCCCAGTTGGCTGAGCATTTTGAAGCCCTTGTTGGAACTGGCTATCTCACTGTAATCGAACAAACGAATTAAACTCATCCCACACAGCAGGTATATACGCCTCAGCTTACGTGTGCACACACGCCACCTCCGTTTTCTCCTTGTCCGTGCTGCTGCCCACTTTGATGCGTCGCTGGGCACTGCGATCATTATAATTTGGATTCGGATTGACGCTCACCTCCACGAATTCTAAAGAGAATATTTAAGTAAGGCCCGTTTACACTCACTAAACACACTCACTTTCATTCTCTAAGCCGTATTTCTTTTGCAGCTTCTTCAGCTGCTCCTTGTGTGTTAATACATTAACGCTGGCTGTCGCGGTTGCTGCTGCCGGCGCTGGCGTCTCAATGAGCAAGCCGGGCTCACATAACCCGCACGTGCTGTTGCCCTCGTGCACGTGACACAATAGCTTTGTCTGGCCAATGCCCAAGACACTACCATGCATGAGATCCAGCGTCTCACTGGCGGCCTTCGATTCCGACATGCGCACGCCGTTCAAGACGGTGCCGTTACGCGAACCCAGATCCCGACATTTGTAGATGGCCTGCTTGGTATCGTAGTGAAAGTTCAGATGGCACTTGCTGACATTCACATCCGGTATGATGACATCGTGTGCGCCCTCACGGCCCAGCGTGCCGCCTTTATAGGTAATCAAATGAAGGCTGCCCACCGTCAATTCCGGCACATTGGTCTCCTGCACAATGATGCGTAGCGAGGGCGGATACTTCTTGGCAATGTCTGTGCAAATGGGGAGGGGTAGTTAGGCAAACATTAGTATCAATCCAATTGATAGTCAACAATATAAAATGATCAGTAAAAAGAAAACGCGAATTTCTTTAAACACCTTGAAAGCGACTGTTGGCTTTGAACAACGGGACGCCGCTGCTGTCACAGTCGCTGTTGCTGCTGGTTTTGTCCTCGACGCTGGAATCGGAGTTGGAGCTGCTCGTCGATTGCGACAGTTCACCGTCTTCAACATCAAGAGATTTTCGGGCACGATTGCGACTGGCCTTCTTATCAACGGAGTCATCATCATCATCATTATCATCATGGCTGTTGCGTTCTTTGTGTCGCTTTTTGGACTTGTGACGATGCTCCTTCTGCTTTTTCTTATGCTTCCGTTTGGCCTTGCGTTTGCTACGCGCCGCACGCTCGCGCAGCTTTTGCTTTTCCGCTTTGATTTGCTGCAGTGTCGCCTTGTCTGTGATAACGCCACCAAATTCATCAAACTCGACATCATCGTCCGCGTTGTCATCCTCCAGCTGCTCGCCGCCTGTTTCGTCCTTTGCCGCAGTACTGTTCGCCTGAAACCAGTGAAAAGAAAAGAAATCCGCGTTTTTATCGAACATTCTGATGCTCAGCTCTTACCTAATGCATTGCTACGCATTCGGTCTATGCTTAGTTTGCGAAAACGTGCTAACAGGCTACTATTATCGAGGCGCTCGCCCGGCGCCACACACTTGCATTAACGGAGGAAGGAGGAAGAGAAATGTCATCAATTTAATCAGTCAGGTCTCACATCTAGCTTCTCATACACACTCACCTGCACCTGAGCCTGCGAGTGAAACTCGTACGAATCTTTTGCCTGATCGTAGCTATAATAACAGCCCGTATTGCCGTCATAGTAAAGCCCGTATTCCTGTTACATAGAGAGTATTATTTAGTTTGTCATTGCTTTAGCAGGGGCGTGGTTGTAGGTCCATCATTCGCGATAACCTCTAAAAGTCACCAAGCGCTAGGCACATACAACTGCACGGCCCGGCACGGCAAGGCACAGCACGTCATAAAGATTACGTTGTTGTAAATTACTTACCGCATTGTAGTAGTAGCCCGTCTTGGGATCGTAGTACATGCCCGATGTCGGTTCATAGACAAAATTATTCAAGTTCTCTGCATGCTTGGCCGCCTGACGCATCTCATCCACAAAACTGAAGGCATCTGTTGGAGAAACTGCAAATTGTATGCTTGAATATTATTTTTTTTTTTTTATGTCTTTACGTAAAATTTACAATCACTATTTAAGTCCAAAGCCAACTTATCGCCTATTTACCATCTGCCTGTCCCTAATGTCAACCTGTTTACATCATGTTGTGCCCCTCAACTGAAACCGGGAACTGGCGCTAATCTCCCAAGCATTAGTTCGAGGCACCACAATTGACGCGCACTTGGCGCCTATTTATATATATATGTTTTTTTTTTTTTTTAATTTTTTGCAATAGCTCAAATAATAAAATAATTAAGATTAAAACGCAACGGATGTAGCGATCAATCTTGTAAACGAAGGTGTTCGTGTGTAAAAGTTGATACCATCCAATAAAGTCAAATGAACCCAAGCTATTTTTTTTAAATAGCTCTTATCTATACCTAAATATATACTATTTGTATGATTTTATGAGTTTTGTTAGGTCATCGGGTTGTCTAAATTCTGAATAGTGTATAAATTGTAATTACTGAATTGGACAACGAGAATGAAAAGTTTGGGATAGATTATAAACCAAAACAGTGGAGACTGAGAGATTAGAACGAAATGAAAATAAAATAATACTTAAATATTCTTTTGTGATTAATATTTTTCATGGCCTATAATTTTCAGTTGAAGTCATCTGAAGAACTCGACATTTTTTAAAATATTTTTCATATTCTATAGAGCTTTCTCTAAAACGAAAGAACTATAAAATGTACTACAATTAAATATGCTGGCAGGCACAACTTATAATTTTGTTCTGATTAGCTGATGTTAAGCACAAGTTTCGTATTTCTATTAGGTTTCAGCAGATTTAGTTGGGTGTTTTCATTTCATATATTTCCTATTGATGCGGAGGGAGATAGCTCAGTTGTTACTACGACTGGGCGAATGCAATGCGAATTTTGTGCTAACTCTTATCAGGTGCGGCGCAAGCTGACGATGGCGTCGCCATTGGCAGGTGATGGTTAGTCTGGTTAGTCGTTACACATTATTCGAGCCAGGCGGTTGGAACAAAAGAAGCAACAGCTAATCAGAGCAAAAATGGTCGATGTGGAAATACGTGAACTTATGCAACCCTTTGTGCTGAGCGATTATCAGGTGCAAGAAGTGTACAGTCGTTTCTGTCTCGAGATCGCCAAGGGTTTGCGGCGCACCACACATGAGCAGGCCAGCACAAAATGCTTTCCCACATATGTGCAGGATTTGCCAACGGGCGATGAGATGGGCAAGTATCTGGCTCTTGATTTGGGCGGTACCAATTTCCGGGTGCTGCTCGTTACGCTCAAAGGTCATCACGAGGCGACGGTCGAGTCACAGATTTATGCTGTGCCCAAGGATCTTATGGTCGGGCCGGGCGTGGAGCTCTTCGATCACATAGCCGAATGTCTGGCCAAGTTTGTGGCAAAGCACGACATGCACAATGCCTATCTGCCGCTCGGTTTCACGTTTTCGTTCCCCTGCATACAGATGGGTCTCAGGGAGGCCAAACTGACGCGCTGGACCAAGGGCTTTAACTGTCCCGGCGTCGAGGGTGAGGATGTGGGTTTGATGTTGCACGATGCCATTCAAAGACGCGGCGATGCGGAAATTGCAGTCGTTGCCTTACTTAATGACACCACCGGCACGCTTATGTCCTGCGCCCATCGCAATCCCGATTGCCGTGTGGGCGTGATTGTGGGCACTGGCTGCAATGCCTGCTATGTGGAGCATGTGGATAATGTGGACCTGCTAGATACGGAGTTTAAGCGCATCCAGAAACAGGTCATTGTTAATGTGGAGTGGGGCGCCTTTGGTGATCATGGACAGCTGGAATTTGTACGCACCGACTACGATCGTGAGGTGGACAGAAAATCAATTAACCGATCCGAACAGCTGTTCGAGAAAATGACATCGGGCATGTATTTGGGTGAACTGGTGCGTCTTGTATTGTTGCGCGCGCTCGAGCGGAATAAAATTTTCAAGCTGAACACAAAACGCGCAGCGTTCGTTGCTGTGCTACAAAAGAATGTGGATATCTTTGAAACCAAATACATATCCGAAGTCGAAGCCGACTCGTTTCCAGAGTTTCCCAACACAAGACGCATCGTGAAGCAGCTGTTCGGAGTGGAAAAGGCCACCGTTGAGGATTGCCAGAAGCTCAAATACATTTGCGAGTGTGTGACCAAGCGCGCTGCCACCTTCGTGGCCATTGGCATAAGTGGCCTCATCAATAAGATCATTGATCGCAGAGTGGTGGTAGGCATAGATGGCTCTGTGTATCGCTATCATCCAAAATTCGATGGTTACATCAGGGAAATGATGCAGAAACTGGTCAAGCCAGGCAAGGAGTTCGATATTATGCTGTCAGAGGATGGGTCGGGACGTGGCGCAGCGCTTGTTGCCGCCGTGGCCAGCAAAACAAAGTGAACGGCAGCCAAAGTTAGCAAATCGGTCAACAAATATGTTATTGTAGAATTTAATAGCATTAATAAATTGTTCTCTTTTTACACTCACGTTCCTTTACGGCCTGGGCCTCCTCTCCATTTGCATCGGAATGGCCATTGGCCGCTTGAGTGTTTTTTTCACCGCAACTTATTGATTCCTTGTTCATCTGCAATTGGGTTTGGTTTATATTTTAGTTCGTTAAAAACTAGCTCGATTACTGAGACTCACGAATTGTTTTAGCTTTTGTTTATATGATGCGATCTTGGTGTCGTATTTCCTAATAATGCTATGCAACTTTTCTATGTACGCGTAAAGCTGTTTTTGCTCCAGGGCCTCCACATCCTCCATAGATTTCAGCTCTATGTAATCGTGAGCCGAAGCCTCCTCGGCGGATGCTTGGGCGGCATCTGGAGCCGTTGCTGACATTGTTTATACCTTATTTCGCAGCTTTCGCTTGTTAACGTCTTTTACTTTAATGACTTGTTTTATTTTCATTGTCTAAGCAACTTTTTTACAAGCTGTTCACTTGGGCAGCGTCTTTTTTTCCGCAAGGAACTTTTCCACCGGTTGGTTGGCAATGTTTTTTCTTCTGCAGTGCTGGCTAATGTTCTGTTTTTGGTTTTAGCGATGGGCGATATTTCTCGAATCAGAGCTGCCAGAAAATATCGGTCAATATATTCGAACACAGGAAATCCCAAATTTATACAGAGCGATATATAGTCTTATATATAATTTAGCATATTAATATTCTCAATATTTCATATGCCTGGCAAAACTCAATAAAATTATGAGCATATCAAGGTAGTTGCGTGCCAAGCACAAACGATATTTACCCAAACCGTTACAAGTACAAGTATTCAAAAGTAGTTGTTTACTAGTTTCAAAAGTTAAAGCGACATAAGAATACGATAGATCGATGCTCCGATGTTTTTTTCTCACGTCTCTAGAAAGAAGCTAATAAACTAAAATAAAAAATCTGTTTTTCTGTACAAGTTATATCATTAAGAATGTGGAACAGAAGTGTTTCGTCAATTTATATTGTTTTTGTGTTGCTTGTGCTAATTCAAAATGGTGATTTTCGGGCCTACGAAGACGTTGCAGTTATTGAAACTGCTGCTGCAGCCGTGCTAAACGGTGCAGCAATCACAGCCCATCACGAAAAGCGTAGAAATAATGCACGCTCAATGATTTGCTACTGCGATGGCAGCTGCCCGAATAATGTAAGTAACGGCACCTGCGAGACTCGGCCGGGTGGCAGTTGCTTCAGTGCCGTTGAGGAGGTATACGATGAGATAACTGGCACCTACGAGGAGGAGCGCACTTTTGGCTGCATGCCGCCCGAGGAGAACGGTGGCTTATTGATGTGTAAAGTGGCGGTTGTGCCGCACATTCATGGCAAGAATATTGCCTGCTGCGAAGATAAAGATTTCTGCAATCGTGAGCTGCAGCCCGAATTCATGCCGAAGATGACCACAGCTGCGCCCGAATTGCCCGTAAGCAGTGAATCTGTGCACACTCTGGCCCTGTTCGCCTCCATCATTGTGAGCATGTCCGTTTTTATTGTGGTGCTCTTTATACTTTGTCTGGTCTATAAGCGCCGCGAGAAGCTGCGCAAACAGCCCGGCCTCATAAACTCCATGTGCAACTCGCAAATCTCACAGCTGGTGGAACAAAGTTCTGGATCAGGATCCGGTTTACCGCTGCTGGTGCAGCGTACAATTGCCAAGCAGATTCAGATGGTGCGTCTGGTGGGCAAGGGTCGCTACGGCGAGGTGTGGCTGGCAAAATGGCGCGACGAGCGTGTTGCCGTGAAGACCTTCTTTACCACTGAGGAAGCATCCTGGTTTCGTGAAACGGAAATATACCAAACGGTCCTTATGCGACACGAGAATATTTTGGGCTTCATTGCCGCCGATATAAAGGGTAACGGAAGCTGGACACAAATGCTCTTGATCACCGACTACCATGAGATGGGCAGCCTGCACGACTACTTGTCCACATCGGTGATCAATCCACAGAAACTACAGCTGCTGGCCTTTTCGCTTGCCTCCGGCTTGGCCCATCTGCACGACGAGATCTTTGGTACGCCGGGCAAGCCGGCCATTGCGCACAGGGACGTTAAGAGCAAGAATATACTAGTGAAGCGCAACGGACAGTGCGCCATTGCTGACTTTGGACTAGCCGTTAAATATATCTCGGAGCTGGATGAGATACACATTGCACAGAATACGCGTGTGGGCACCCGCCGCTATATGGCACCGGAGGTGCTCAGCCAGACACTCAATCCGCAACAATTCGAAGAATTTAAACGCGCCGACATGTACTCCGTGGGCCTGGTACTATGGGAGATTGCCAGACGTTGCTATACGCCAATTTCGGGCACCAAGACGACCACCTGCGAGGACTACGCGTTGCCCTATCATGATGTGGTGCCCTCCGATCCCACCTTTGATGATATGCATGCCGTTGTGTGCGCCAAGGGCTACCGACCGCCGATACCGCTGCGCTGGCAGGAGGATGATGTGCTTGCCACCGTCTCTAAAATTATGCAGGAGTGCTGGCATCCGAATCCAACGGTGCGTCTCACCGCGTTGCGTGTAAAGAAAACGCTAGGTCGTCTCGAAGCGGACTGCCTCATCGATGTGCCCATGAAGATTGTCTAGATCTTTTGTCTAGCCACTGGCGCACCTTTATTCTTATTCAATAGTTTGTTAGTTCGCTGTAGTCCCTACAGGTTTGACCTAAGTTGCATTTATATAATCACCAACTTGTTTCCGTTTAAATCGTTTCTTTTTTTGTCCATTCGCGTGTAAGAAAATTGGTTCACTTTATAGCATCCAATTTGGTTTGGTTTTTCGATATAGAATTTGTGCCTACTTGTAATCACATTAAGAGCCGTACTGATTGTATGTTAGACTAAGTTCATTTGTTGTTAGTTTATCGATAAGGCCGTAGATAATCATTGGTTTGAAAATGCTTTAACTATTTGAGAAATCTTTTTGATACAATACTATATTCACGTTCAATCTGTCCACACAATCGATGATGGGCCCAAACGAAATGTATGTGTAGATTTTTTTTTTTCTGTGCCAGCTTGTGTATACTTTTGGGGTATAACTATAAAATTAACTAGGCTAAGTTGACAAGCATCTAACCTAATGAATGGTTTTTGTGAATTTGTAGTGCGAGTAAACGTGGCAAGTTCCAAAATATTTGTAAACAAGTTATAAGTCCTTGCCCACAGTGCAAGGTAATGCTGCCTTATGTAAAATGTAGACTAGCGTAAATACATTTAGTATGTAGAAAGAAATGCCGGCAAACAATTTGTCCAGCGTAGTTTTTAGCGGCTGCTTCAATTAGAATAGATACCATATACATACATACATATAGGGAATATACATTTAGATCTAAGTTATATGTTTGACTTGTGGAAAGATATTTGAAGGTGCAACATTTAAAAACGTTTCAATTATATTAACCTTTAACTCTTTGTTTATGTATGCTTAGTGTCCAACTATGGCGTACACACGTTCTTGAAGTTATATTTTGGCATTAACAACTTAGCTTTAAGAGCAACTTTATGGATTTTACTTGATTTGTTTTCGTTGTACGCAACCGAAGTTGTATCTTCAATCAATTTAATTACGATTTTTATTTACAAATAATTATAATAAACAATAATTTCCTTCAAATGGGGTCAACTTTCTGCCTTTAGCTGATTTTTTGGTTCGTCTTCCAGCGGCTCACGTGCTTTCTCTGCCTTCAGTTCCGCATTTGTGCTTGGGCTAATCTTGGCTTTGGCACCCTTACGCTGTGGAATAGTTTCGAGAATCGCTTGCGTCCAATCCTGCCCAGCTGCGACACGTGTTAGCAGCTCGAATACATGGAAAGTGCTGAGCACGGAACGTGTCTTCATATCCACGTGTTCGCTGAGTGGCAGGCGTGCCGTCCTAAGTCCAGCACTTGTGGCGCGTTGATGACACAGACCCTTCAAATGGTTGTGATCGACAAGGCCGCCAATCACATACGTATGCCCGGGCTGTGGATGCTCCAGAACCGTATCCGATTCGCAGGTTAAGTAGACCAGCTGCTTCTGGTCGAATAGTTCTGTGTGCGTGCGATCAAAGTGGTAGTCCACGTGCCAGTTCTCCCAGCCGTCATTCTTCTTAAAGCATTCGTGAATGTGTCCCTCGCGCTTAATGCCCGTAAAGTGCAAACGTAGCGGCTGTGCTGCACGTCGATTGATCGTATAGATCCGCAGACATTGCTTCACACACTTGGCAATATCTCGCTCCTGCATCAGGTCATCGTAGTCCAAATCGATTGCCACGCTGATCGCATCGGCAGAGCTCTGACTACTGGTTGCCGATAGCTGACGCCGTTTCAGCTCCTTGCGTGAGGGTCCCGCACTAAGCGGCAGCCCATTGGCCTTGGCCACAGCCTTTTTCTCCTTTCGGCGCTCGCGCTCTTTCTGGCGACGCAACTTTCGCAGTTCCAGCATTTCGGCCAGCTTCCGTTGCTTCTTCAACTGGTTCTTGCTAAGAGGTGTGCAAGGCGTGGTGCCGGGGCAGCTATCTAGTGTAATCTCCGCAGGCTGCTCTGGCCCGTTAATATCCATCTTTATTATTTTTTTAATTAAAACTAAATATCAACATATGCGATTGCTCGCCAGAGCATGTTTCAACCGATTTGGTTCATTGAACCAGACTGATTTCGGAACTAGTTTCGCAACACTCACTGATAAGTTCATCTTGGCTATTCAGCCCTGATATAAACAAACTTTAAGGGCTACCGAAAGTATGGCCATTATGGTCACTTTCGGCGAAAAAGTCTAGCTCAAGAAACATATTGTTAAAACATAATGTATCAGCCACCTTTGCCGCCTCCACAGGAGTTTCCCACGCAACCTCCGCCACCGCCTCCCCCACCACCAGCTAAAACAAAGGACCTGTTGCCGCCCGGCTTGAAAACCGAAGCCCCACCTGGCACTAATGATCCGACTGTGTCACCTCCGGGCACCTTTGACTACGTGCAGCAATTTTCGAGTGTGAATAATCCCTACCACACTCAAAGTTCTTCCACAAATTACTTTAAATACGCTGGACCGGCTTATGCGCCATACGCTGCAGGACCACCGCCACCGTACGCAGCCCCATATTCATATGACAGCTTCTCATACAAGGAGGGTTACGGACATACAAACTACCATCAGCCGGCTGGCTCATATGACTATGAGGCATACGGAAAGAGTTCCTACTCATACAAGTATCAGGAACGATATGACTACACCCCAAACTATCGACCGCCCAATCAAAGATACGCGAACTACAACAATGCCAGCTACCAGGGGAACTACGGTGGCTACAATTACGGCAATCGCTACGAACCACGCTACTATAATCCACGACAAATGCGTGCTGGCTTCCCTCCTGCGCCCGGGCGCACCAATTTTAAGGGCGTGTCCATGCGCGATTGGAGCGAATCGGCGTCGAATCCGCCAAAGCTGGAAACGGAACGTGATCGCCTTTTGCGTCAATGGTGCTCCAACTATTGTGAAAAGCCAGAGGATTATATTAAGAAAATGAACGCATTAAGCGAGGCAGAAGTGCCAGCCGAGTCCTGGGTACGTTCTTCGCCCGCTGAGCTCTACTACGAACGCACCAAGACCGAGCATGAGGTTAAGGCCAAGACACGTCTGCATAAATTGTGCGCTCTGTTCGATGATGAGCTCCTTCAACGCGCTGACCGTGTGCGCCAGACCTTGCCCGTTTATGTACCGCCTGCGAGGAAATCGCGACGACGTGCATGCAAGCACAAGCACAAGTCGGAGGCGTGCTCCTCCAGTTCTGATTCCGACTCGGATGAGGATGCGTTCAAAATTGAGCAGGACTGCTGCATGGAAGAGTTGTCGTGCAAGGTGCAGCATCCGCAGCGGGTACATCCCGATCTATGGCACAACGACGCCGGCGAGATGAACGATGGTCCGCTGTGCCGCTGCTCGGCCAAGTCGCGACGCATTGGCATACGGCACGGCATCTATCCCGGTGAAAAGGGCTATCCGTTGTGCGATAAGGATACAAATAATGCGGCTAGCCTCTACCATTATCGCATTACCATATCGCCGCCCACAAACTTTCTGACAAAGACACCGACTATTATCAAGCACGATGAGCATGAGTTCCTTTTCGAGGGCTTCTCTTTACTCTCCCATGTGCGGCTTACCGATCTACCTGTCTGTAAGGTGATACGCTTTAACATTGAGTACACTATTGAGTACGACGAGGAGAAGATGCCGGAGAACTTTACCATACGCGAATTGGATTTGTTTTGTGAGTGTGCTTCTTATAACTTTAGTTATCTCGGAGTTTGATAGTTGACTTTTATGTTTCAGTTAAATATCTTTTCCATGAGCTGCTGGAGCTGGTTGACTTCAATCTGATACCAAACGGCGCCATAAATGGCGAAGAATCCTGTCCAGCCTTTCATTTCTTGCCGCGCTTTGTGCGCGAGCTTCCCGACAACGGCAAAGAAGTGCTTGCCATGTGCGAGGTGCTCAAGTATCTACTGGATAATTCAGCCGAGCTGGTGGAGCGTCAACAATTGCTGCACCTAAATCAAATCAGTCAGCATGAGTGGCAAAAATACGTGGACTTCATCAAGGGCATGCTGGTGACCAAGCCTGGGTATAAGCCTTGTTCGCTGCGCGTCGATCAACTGGATCGCAACAATTCAGATTTGCCAGAGTGCTTGGATCGGGAGACAGGCATCTCGCATCCGGCGATTGTACACTTTGGCATTCGGCCACCGCAACTAAGTTATGCGGGCAATCCTGAGTATCAAAAGGCATGGCGTGAATATGTTAAATTTCGTCATCTAATGGCCAACATGTCGAAGCCATCGTTCAAAGACAAACGCAAGCTGGAGGACAAGGAGCAGCGACTGCAGGAGATGCGCACGCAAGGACGCATGAAGCGTAACATTACCGTGGCCATCAGCTCCGAGGGCTTCTATCGCACGGGCATTATGTGCGACATTGTGCAGCATGCGATGCTCATACCGGTGCTCACTGGCCATTTGCGGTTTCACAAGTCTCTGGATTTGCTGGAGGAGAGCATTGGCTATAAGTTCAAGAATCGTTATTTGCTTCAACTGGCATTGACACATCCATCCTACAAGGAGAACTATGGCACTAATCCGGATCATGCACGCAATTCGCTTACGAATTGCGGAATACGACAGCCGGAATACGGCGATCGAAAGATACACTATATGAACACACGCAAGCGTGGCATTAATACGCTGGTCAGCATAATGTCACGGTTTGGCAAGGATCACGAGACCGTTTCGAATATTACGCATAACGAACGCCTGGAATTTCTTGGCGATGCTGTTGTCGAGTTTCTGAGCTCCATACATTTGTTTTTCATGTTTCCGGAGTTGGAGGAGGGCGGCCTGGCCACTTACCGCGCGGCTATTGTTCAGAATCAGCACCTGGCTTTGCTGGCAAAAAAATTACAGCTCGAGGAATTCATGCTGTATGCTCACGGCTCCGATCTGTGTCATGAGCTCGAGCTACGTCATGCCATGGCCAATTGTTTTGAGGCCCTAATGGGCGCTCTACTCCTAGATGGTGGCATCAAAGTGGCCGATGAAGTGTTTACCGATGCGCTGTTTCGGCAGGACGAGAAGCTGTTGAAAATATGGAAAAATCTGCCGGAGCATCCACTGCAGGAACAGGAACCGCTCGGCGATCGTAGCTGCATTGATTCGTATCGTGTCCTCAAGGATCTGACCAAATTTGAAGATTCCATTGGCATTAAGTTTAAGCATATTCGTTTGCTGGCACGTGCCTTTACCGATCGCTCAATTGGCTTTACCCACTTGACGCTTGGTTCCAATCAACGACTAGAGTTTCTCGGCGATACTGTGTTGCAATTGATTTGCTCGGAATATTTATACCGTCATTTTCCGGAGCATCATGAGGGTCATTTATCCCTGCTTCGCTCCTCACTCGTCAACAATCGCACTCAGGCCGTTGTCTGCGATGATTTGGGAATGCCTAAGTACGCCGTCTATGCCAATCCTAAGGCCGACTTGAAGACCAAAGATCGTGCTGATCTGCTGGAAGCCTTCTTGGGCGCTTTGTATGTCGACAAGGGACTGCTCTATTGCGAACAGTTCTGCCATGTCTGCCTCTTCCCACGCCTGCAGCTGTTCATTATGAATCAGGACTGGAACGATCCCAAGTCAAAGCTGCAACAGTGCTGTCTCACATTGCGCACTATGGATGGCGGCGAGCCTGATATACCCTACTACAAGGTGGTCGAGGCTAGCGGACCCACAAATACGCGCGTGTACAAAGTGGCTGTTTATTTCCGCTCCAAGCGTTTGGCCACAGCCAGCGGCTCATCCATTCAACAGGCAGAGATGAATGCGGCTAAGCAAGCGCTGGAAAACTCGCGGGATTTGTTTCCTCAGCTGGACCATCAAAAGCGTGTCATTGCCAAGAGCATTAAGAAACAGACAGGCAGCGAAATGGATACCGATGCCGATAAGCCCCAAGACGATAAGGCCAAGAAGCCTAAATATGCGCCGCCACTTGAGGATGAGTCACACTTGCCCAAACAATATCGCATGCATGAGAATATATCCAGCGACGAGTTGCCTGAAGATGATGACGATGACAATGTTGCTACTAATAGACCCACTTGTAAGTACAATATCGATGACATAGTAGTGTATCTTTAGTTAAATTCGATCCTTTCCAATTTAAGCGCCAGTTCAAATTTCAAGGAGAGCAAGTAGCAGCAGCAGCAATAGTGATACCGACAGCTCCAGTACACCGCCAAAGCGACGGCCTCGACTACAGGAAGCTTCGATTTCTCCAGTATCCTCGTCATCTTTATAATTGTAAATTTGTTAGCTTGTAACTAGTCCATTTATGATAAATATAGCAAAAGCGATCTTAGCACAGTGTCCTTCGAGTTGTGGTAAGTTTGATTGCACTAAGTTCAATTTTATTGAACGATTGCATTTGCAAATCACGCGCGATAACTAAATCGAAAATAACAAAAGTAAAAAAAAATGAAGTAATTGTTGGGGAAGATTGTAAATTTTAACAAAATCAAATAGATTTGAATGGCTATGGTACAAAATGCAATACGAATTCAACAACGTATTAATTCGGGTAGCTTAGCTTTACTTAAAGAGCGATAAACGGCGACCAAGCGAGCGCCCGCTGCTATTGAGTGCGCTTGTTATGTCTGTCATCTCAGGCAAATTCTGAATGTCTCCGCGCGCAGCTACTGACGGTACTGAGCCGAGCAGTCTTTGTGCCACGCGTTGAATGTCGGCAGCTGTTACTTTTTCTGAAATATTTATGACATTTATATATTTATAGCAATTGATGTGTGTATATATTTGCATACCAATCTCCTTTATGAAGTGTTCGGGGCGCTTGCGATAACCCGTGACCAGCACTTGGCGGCCCACATCTTCGAACACAACTGGCCTGGACTCCAGATTCATCAACAGCATAGACTGCAGTTGGATTTTGGAACGCATTAATTCTTCGTTGCCGGGCTCGGCGCTCATGTTCATAAGTTCACGCGTGAGCACCTCGACCATGTCGCGCATGTGCTGTGGTGGCGCACTGCCGTGTATACAGAAAAGTCCAGTGTCCACATAGGCATGATTATACGCTGTGGCACTGTACATCCAATGGTAACGGTTTAAGACTTTCGTGTATAGACGTGAGTACATGCCCTTGCCAGGGCCACCGGCGGAGAATGAACCACCGCCGCCCATCATAATGTTGAGCACGCACAATGGCACAAAGTCCGAATCTTGATGGGAACAGCCCTCAAAGCCGAGTACAACGTGCGCCAGTTCAGGCAGCCCAGCTGCCGCATAAATGGGAATTTCGCAATGCTCCTATTCAAGTTTACAAGATTAATTGTGCAATTCCCCATGTTAAGGTATCATTGCTTACTTTAACTATGCCGCCCGTGTACTGTGCTACTGACGTGTCCACTTGATTGGGAGCCACGTTTGTCAATTCTTCATTCATCCAAATTGCTTCATTTTCGACAAAGTATTTTCTTACGTGCTCCACCAGCTCTTCGTGATCCACCTATAGAAAAGCAAAAAGGTATGCAATAGCATTCTTATAATTGATGCCCTCGCGGCTAAACTTACGCCAACACCAGCAATGACCATGCGATCCGGAGAGTGATGATATTTTAAATAGTTCATTAAGACGTTGCGATCAATGCTGTCTAGATTCTGTGGCGGGCATAGTTTTGGTAATCCTAGTGTATTGTCTCTGTAAGCGGCAGCGTGAATCATGTCCATGAGTATTGGTTCCTGCTCGGGTCGCATTCCGAGCGTCTCCAACTCAAAGCTGACAGCACGACGCGCTAAGTTGACTTCTTGTTCGCTTAGCGTGGGCCGCAAAGTTACATCAGCCAGCAAACGTGTAACGGACTCAAGAGCACGGCTGTCAATGCTGGCCGCATATATAAGGGTATCTCGGGAACTTTGGCAATCACAAATACCGCCGTTCTTTTCCAACTCTTTGAGTATTGCATCCTTGTTAGGAAAGTTAACTGTTGACTGTGAATTGACGAGGAGTATAATTCAATAAGTACAAAGATATAAAACTATTTGGGGGGGATACACTTACATTGAACGCAAGCTTCTCAAGAAAATGTGATACGCCACTAGGGTACGCTACTTCGTAGCGTGGTCCAGAGTCCAGCACCAGACCCACAGTACAGAATTGTCCATAACGCGGCTCCGAGGCAATGCGCAGACCATTAATTAATGTTGTAACCTTTGTGGAGGCGCTCTCAACCAACGGGTTTGCATAAATGGCCTCCGGCAAGTTTGGCAGCGGTTCGGTTAGTGGCGGCAGATGCGTAACAATTTCTTTGGATGGCTTATTTACCTTGTGCGGGCCACCGTCTTTGCTTCGCACGCGCCCGGTGATTTGACCAATTCCGGTACCACTGCCAATTTCATCACCACCGACAGTGGTTACTTTTGTGGCGAAGCGCCGTGGAAATCTAATTGAATAATTATGAAATGCATTATTTTTACCGGGTTTTTGTACAACCATGCTAACACACACGATTCTTACGTGCGCCAAGAATTTTTTAGCATTTGCAGCATACTGAAGCTTCTCACGTTCATGATTTGCAGGTGATTTGGGTCTGGCCTTGAGCGTTTTCAACTATATTTACAATTTCAAATGTTGAATTTTGCTGCGTTCAAGAAATCTGTTTCAAAGACATACTTTTGAAGAAAAAATATATTCTTCTTCTTTCCTACTGTCAATCCTAAATGTCATATGGAACTCAGAGCTCATGGTTGTATTTTCATATATATCGATATATTAATCGTAAAAATTTAAAAACAATATGCATATTGAAATTTTTTTTTATTTTCTTGAATTTGCATTTGAACATTTGCAATGGTTAAAAACTAATCAAAATTGAAGCGCCGCTTCCCATCAAATCGGTAGCCATAGGCAGCTGCATTTTTTGTATCCACCAATGCAGGATTTCGATGCTTGAAGAAGCTGCCATGCCCGTGAGCGGGCCGAGATGCACTGTTTGGTATGCCCTCCACTTCACGCGGATAGAAGGCCTCAAACATGCCAGCGGGTGGCAGGCAACACTCAACGATTTTGGTATCATTTGGATCATATGCGTTTATTTTGATCAGTTCATGTTGTGCGCACAAAAAAATCACCAATATATTGAAAAGTTTCGCAATTAAAGTCATTGCTAGTTATACACACGCGGATCTGCCTTTTACTTTTTGTACACAGTAGCTCGTTGTCTTGGTCGCTAAACTTGTTTTCCGTTGCTCGCTCGATTTAAACGTGTTTCAATTGCTGTGCCACAAATTATACTGACTATCCCATAATCCGTTGCTCTGCTGCTGCACTAGGCTGAAGTTTGTTGGATTTTGCACGCTTGCATGTGATTAACAAAAGCTTTTTCATTTTCAAATTTGGCGCTTACTCTTTGAAACGGATGGGTAACGCCAACATGGTGTTGCTACAAGTGGCAACCCCAGAACGACCAGAGATATGCAGGAGTTTTATAGCACGGTAACAATGCACAATGTAAAGCTTTCAGCACGAAAAATAAATAATATATATTTGCATGCTTAAATAGATGGTTAATTTGAGTTATTTTAAATAACCAGAGTCTAGGAAAATAATATAAAATATAGCATATGTTGCAATCAGAACTTAACGTATGCAGTTTGTTTAATTCGTGCCTGTTTAAATTAAAATCACGGATCGCGCTCATCTCTTTCAGCTTGAACAGCAGTGCCAATTTGCCCATTCAGAACGAAACTAATACCCAGAGAGATAAGAAGTGTTTGTATATTTTTAAGTCGACCTTATATCGATAAGCGCTTTAAACAGCTATCAAAATTATGTCGTATAACCGTATGAAAACGCCAAAAGATTTAACAACTGTCACAAGTAAGTTGCTATGGCAAAATATTATAAACATGCATTCTTGGAAAATAGATAATCTGCGTAAATATCCGTATTTCCATATGTATACACATTGCCATTAGTATGATTTTCAACATTCATTTAAATTGTGCACTTTTCATTTGCCAGAAAACATTCAAAATGCATTTAACATTTGAAATCAGAGTTCTGCCAGTGTACATGCAAATGTAAATAATATGTATGTATCCAATATGTGTTTTTCCCGGCGCGAATGACGCAGTGCTTATTTCATTTTCCTTGAATTCCGAGATACACATAAACAACAATTAGGCATGGGAAATTTTCTAAATCAAGCTGCTAATGTGATTACTTGTTTATCGCAGAGCCCCTCAACAATGATGAGCGTTATCCACCGATACCATTGCCAGCGCCACCGCCAGCCGGGCCAGAAACGATGCACGCGGAAAACGTGAACAATCCGAATGCAGTCGCCAGGGAAACTATGAATCCGGCACCATTTTTGGAGAGCGGACAAATTATAATGCACAACAGTCCTGGATTTTCTGGTGCAGATGATAGCTTGGAGGCAAAGAATATCATTTTCAATGATCAAACCATACGCAAGGGCTTCATACGTAAAGTGTACTTTATTCTCTTGGTAAGCCTGAAGTTGAACAAATTTTTAAGTATTTTCTGTAATCATCCATTTCGCACTTGTAGACACAATTGCTCTTCACTCTTGGTGTCATATCCATATTTGTGTATCACGAGCCCACAAAACAGTTTGTCCGGGAAAAACCGATGGTCGTGGGCGTCGCCATGATTGTCAACATTGTGGTGCTGATCTCGATGGCCTGCTGTGAAACTGCTCGGCGCAACTTTCCGATTAATTTCATCTGCCTGGGCCTATTCACGGCTACCATGTCCCTACTCCTGGGCGCCGTGGCCAGTACTCTAGACGCAAATGTGGTGCTCTTGGCTGTGGGCATAACTGCGCTGTTGGTTGTGGCTTTGTCCATATTCGCCATACAAACCAAATATGATTTCACAGCCTGGGGCGGCGTCCTAATCTCGGTTGTTATCTGTTTGTTGATCCTTGCCTTTGCGGGTGCATTTTTACGCGGAACCTTCGGTGAGACGGCGGTCTCATGCCTTGGTGCTCTACTGGCCAGTTTTCTGCTAATCTATGATACACAATTGATAATTGGCGGCACGCACAAGTATCAGTTTAATCCGGAGGATTATATTTTCGCTGCATTAACTTTGTATTTAGATGTGGTGCGCATCTTCTTGTATGTATTACGTCTAGCCAGAAGGTAAATGATTTTTGCTTGATACTCAGAAATATTGCATAATGCTTACATTATGAATCGAATTACACAACCGCGTGTATGTCTATGTGAATTTATTATTAATTGTATACAGGTTTTCTTAAAAGTTTACTTACAAAATCGAATTCCAAAATATTTTAGATAACATCAGCAATAAGACTCCCATAATTGTAAAAAAAAAAAAAAGAAACAAAACAACAATCCTTTAATTTAAGCAAAACATAAAGGCCATCAAATGGCAAGCCAAAACGCACATTCAGATGAAAAATAAATATATTTAGCCGATATTGAATGGTTTATAACCAACGCTTAATCAGACTCTTGGCCTAATCTTAACATTGTTTGAGATTCGCAAACGACTTTAAAGTAAAGTAATCTGTTTTTTTTTTTATATAGTATATTAGGCAATTCAAATCACAAACAGACACTGGTTGCATTATTTTTGTTGTACTTTGTCCTTTATTAAGCTAACGTTTTTGGCTCATTTTCTATAGTACACATTTAATATATGTTATTATATTTAGTTATTTGTATTGATTATGTATGAATCTGTGTGTAACTATCAAATACAATCACAAAACGTATGTAATTCCTTTTAATTATTTACATAAATAATCGTATTTAAGATAGGGAGAGTATCATTATAAAACAAATATTCAGTATAAACACAAATAAGTAACTAAGGCGTATTTACTGGACAGAAGCTGCTCCGGCTGCTGTTCCAGCTGCTGTTCTGCTCATGAATCGCCTATACAGAGTATAGAACGTTCATTAGTACACATTTATGTATAAATTTGATCTATGTATGATGTAACTACTCTATGCTGAAATCACTGTAAATACAACGAACTTCTCTTGATATTCTCAAACGTTTCACATAATATGGCGCAGATGACCGTAAGTATGCAGGTGTGTAAATGTAATGTTTGTTGTCTTCGTTTAAATAATAAAGGCTATTAATTATACGCAGTTTGATCCAGCGGCTCCTGAGTGTGTATATACAAATAAGGAATATGTTAGATGTATATCAAAGACAACTGCCGCTGCAAATTGTTCAGTCCTCCGTGAATGGATGATCCGATGTGTCGCTGCTGTTGCGTCTACGACTCTCCAATATTTTGGTCGCCTGCTCCAGCGTTTCCTTGTAGAACATGTTCTCCCTCGCGTCGCTGGGCAACGAGTATTTCGTGTCGTCCAGATGCCATGTCAGTCCCAAAACAATATTGAAAGCAGATGCATCATAGCCATGACAGCCGGAATAACGATAAAGTGGTTTTTTGTTAAATTTGCAGCCATTCGATTGGGCACCTAACAGTTAGATAGGATAACAAATAGCAATTAGATAACCGATTAGCCTATTATCAAATCAGATACAAATATCAAATAATTTGTACTGATTTTGTATCAAAACAAATTGTTCTCGGCTCTTGGTTAAGCCTTTTTATTATGCATAATTTAGTTATCAATCGAACGAAACTAATATAGCAATGTCTCGTGAAGACTGGAATCTCAAAGCAGGTATTGGCTAACTGAATACATGAATTCGCTTGCAATATAATATATACATGTATCTAGATACCCTAGCTATAACGACAGCACAAGATGTCAGCATACAGTGTGAGCTTATGTTGGATGGACGCAGCTACGCATTCGATATACCCGACATAAGGCCAAGGCGTCGGTTGGTGCGTCGTTTTTATTATTTGCTAATGGTAGGTCGTTCAGTTGAAACTATTTAATATATATATGATTATTATTATACAATATCCACAGCTGGAGATTGCATTGGCCGTGCCCTGCTCGGAGATTATGTTTATCCTTACGATTTCCTGTAATCAGCTAGTTTTACGTGTGGCCACAATTGTGGTGCTGTTAATATTTTACACGTTCCTCTATCTATGGCCAAATTGGCGACGATATCCTCCCTACAATTACTGCGTATTCCTGTTGACATCGCTCTCAACCGCCATCAGCATGAGTATCTATTTAATACAGTTCGGTCAAACACGTTGGGTGCGTATTCTATGAATCTATGTTGTGATCGACATCTAACATGCTTGTCCTTTGCAGCTGCATGCATATCCACTGATTGTTATTACCGAGCTGTTAGCTGTAGCTTTGTACACTAAACAGGACAGACTAAAATGTTCGCATGGTGTGGGCGTACTTATAATATTCTTGGTTTTTGGATTGTTTCTGGTGTTGGCATACTTTTTGGGCATGTTTGCCCAGATGCTTGGCCTGTTCGGGTGTACGCTGGAGGCCTGGTATATTATCTACGATACACATCTGATGCTCTGCGGTCACCATGGCTACAATGTTAAGCCCGAGGAGTATGTGTTTGCCGCTGTCAATATACACGCTGATGTGCCCAAGTTTTTGTGGATTTTAATTAGGCACTTAGTGCTTGGACCATTTGTGATGTTCCTCGAGCTAATACGAAATTGCCGCACAAGTGGAATATGCTAAGTGCTAAGTAGCCGCGAAATAGAGTATGTGTAGAGTAACAAAATGTAACACATAGATAGAATATAATGCATATATAAAATATAATATCATATTTTATATTCTACACTCTGTTTTCAAAACGTAATCGCAATATTTTCCCTATATATCCTACTTCCTGTCGCAATTTGCTTATTCGAAAATAAATAAAGCAATCCATTGTGCAAGATAAATGTAAATCTTCAAACATAGCCTCTGATTCAATCGATTTTTCGTTCCCTAATTGCCGTTTTCCATTAACGGTTTGCCCAGAGAAGGCCCATTATATGTTTGGTGGATTGCAAGGAACCCAATTATGTGTACATGTATGACACGTTTGCTATCATCGGCTAAATGCACTGTAAATGATGGTCATTAGCGCTGTGGGCCCCACAGTCGCCGCTCGGTTAGCTGTTGGACGGCAGCGCGGGCTATGAATGTGACTTTGATTGACCGGGTGGGCGGTGACCGGTGGGGTTCAGGAAACTGTAGAGCACTAATGACATCACATATACGCAAAAAAAAAAAAAAAAATAAAAAACAGAAGCCGAACACTTACCAATTGGATCGATGCATTCCATGGTAAGGGCGCATTTTAGCCACGGCAGCATAATCTTGTCCGTGACAAAGAGCGTATCGGCAAAGAAGACCGCATCGAGATCAACCATACGCAAAAATATAAAATCCTCCGCATCTGATTCAAAGTAATCGAACATCTTTGGATGTGTCCGTGATGAGACAGCTGTCGGTGTATTCCAGCCCAAAACGCCGGCAACCAATGCTCGACTCTGCAGATCCTGCAGCTCCCGATAGCCGCCGCGTATGCGCATATTGTTTTCGGTAAACAGCACCGATTTGGCTCGCATCAGGGCATCCTTTATCACAATGGGGCGATATGCGTGCGTACGCTGATCGTTGACGAACGAGGGAAACTCCGTCAGATCGTAGGTGATGACAGCGCACCGGCTGTTATTGCAGTAGGCGTTCAGGGAACGCAACTGCTCCTCGGACACGCCCAGATCATAGATGAGCAAATACTCGCTGGGCAGCTTGGCCGCAATGTTTTGGGCCAACAATATGGCCGATGACACCTGTCCCTCCTGCACATAGGTGACTATGGTAAAGTTGGCCTTGGTGCCGTTATACGGCGTCGTAATGCGTTTCCGCTGACTCTTCTGCTGCTGCTGCTGCTGCTCCTGTCCCTGGGGATGTGATGCTACCGCTGACATTTGCCTGGTGCCATCTCGTGTACCCAGCTGCCGCTGCAACTCGCCGATCTCCTGTGCCGCCCTCTGCGCCGTGACGGGCGTGTCTGTTTGCGGCTGCTGAGAGGCATCATCCTTTGTGTTAAGCGGCGACGTGAATCCCAATAGCACCAAATATTTTGGCTCTAGCTCGAGTTTCTTGCGCTCCAGGCCAACGCGTAAGTTCTCCTGAAATCAAAGTACAAATCAACTAAAGTTTTGTAAATTTGCAAATAACAAGAACCAGAATTGATATAGCTTAGCTTGAATGCCCCATAGAGTGAGGTCTTTGAATAGTTGAAAGACGGTTAATCAATATTTTAGTTCAACACCTAAACAAATATGCTCGAAATTATCCAAATTCTAGGACAATGCTCATATGCGAGAATCTGTCTAGCGGCTGCTCCGCGGGTAAACAGTGCTCAAGGATAATGGCACACAATTTGTTTCCCGATCATTGTGGAGCAACCAAATTGGTCCCAATGGGCGCAGTCCCAACTGCTGTTTACAGTGGAATATTTTTTCGTGGTTTTTCCCACCCATCTCATACCTCCAAGCTCTTACGGGCGTGTCATGTGCCAGTAAAGAATTTGTTTTCTCCAAATCGAAACTGATTGTGCTGGTGGCACCGCCCAAAAGCTAAATAAGCCAACATTTTATGATTGTTGTCGCCGCAAATCGCATGACAGCCTGACATCCTCCATCCGACCTCGGCCTCTACCTGCCGGCCACATCGTGCGCCAAGGCTGGCGACTACTCAACCGCAATCATTGGACCCAAGTCGATTGAAACTGGTAAAAGCACCAAATGCAAAATAATTTCTTAAATCAATGACCATTTCACTGAAACCAATAAAGATTTGACTTGAGTATTAAATGCGGGCTGTGAACGTCGCAATCTGAGTCAAGAATTCAAAAGAAAACAAACACATGAAAAAATTAACCCACGATAAGAAGTTTTCACAAACATGTAAAGGAATTATATTTTCAGCCGACGTCATACATATGTATATATATATTCGTAAACAGCCGATATCTATTTCTCTGGCTGCAAACAATTTCAATTATATGCAACAATTCAATTATAAGAAACAGGTCACATTTTCCACCTTCTTCTGCCCAGTTTCCTTTAAATGCATGTGCACGAGCAGCTCGCTTATTGATTTTCTAGAAAATTGCCTTATGCACATTGTTTTTTTTGTTTTGTTTTCTCGTGATTGATTGAACATTTTCGCAGAAACAAGATGGTTATTCGAGTAATCATTCGAATACACCCAAGAGTAGCACAGGCTTTAAATTTCAGGAGCACAAATTGTGCTCAAATATGAAGACTGACAAATGTTATTATTACACTTTATTCTCAAAAGAAAACAACAAACTCAAAAAAAAAAAAAAACTACACAAACATAAAATAAACAAAAATACATAAAAAAAAACTATGCTATAAATAAAAAATAAAAAAAATAAATAAACAAAAAAAATTTAAAAAAAAAAAAAAAACATTTAAAAAAAATTAATTAAAAACTAAAAAACAAAAATAAAAAAAACACACGAGAATGGAGGAATTGACAAAGAACCAATTGGCCGTTTTTCAAGAGTTGTTCAACATAATTGACGTTGAACAGGATGGCAGCGTTACCTACAAGGAGCTGAGTGTTGTCCTGCGCGCATTGGGCGGCAACCTGCCCGATGGGGTTATCCATGACATGATCAATGAGTCGGACGAGGATGGCAACGGTTCTCTGGACTTTAGCGAATTCACTAAGATTCTGTTACGCAAAATGTCCGATACGGATCGACCCGAGGATCTGCGCGAGACATTTAGGTTGTACGACAAGGACAATAATGGCTTCATCTCGGCAGCTGAATTGCGCACAATTTTTACATCAATTGGCATGAAAGTGTCCGATGAGGAGATTGAGGACATGATTCGCGATGCGGACCTAGACGGCGATGGGGTTTTATTGTATGACGAATTCGCCAACATGATGACCTCATTGGACGAGAATTGACATAACAATATTCATATTTGGAGCGCAGTGCAAAATTAATATTGTTATATTACATTTAGTTAGGGTCGTATTCTCAATATTTTTTTATTCATGCATCATCGTTACGATCCATCATAGTTGAATATTGAGAGTTCGGCCTTAAGAATACATGAATTTTATCCGACTACAAAGTAGCCCAAATTTGTTTTCAAGATGAATCTAGTTTACTTATTCAAAACGAAACAAAAACTCCAAATATATAGCACACAAAATTATATTTAGCTGATTTCAAAAAAAAAAAAATTCCAAAAAATCTTCGAATATAACGAACAATGGAGGCTGTTGGAGGCATCGCATTGACCGAGGACCAATTAAATGAAATACGCGATGCTTTTAGGGTTTTCGATCAAAATAACACGGGCAAAATTACGGGAAAGCAAATGGGTGTTGCGATGCGCTCGCTTGGCTACTGTCCCACAGAGGCGGAGCTGTATGATCTGATCGATGAGATTGATCTCGATGGTGATGGTGAGATAGACTTTTTGGAGTTTCAACAAATGATAGCGAAACGCATGGATGGCCTCTCCAAGGAGGAGAATCTAATGGCAATATTCAAGCTGTTCGATCGCGATGAGGATGGCATCATAGCGCCCATCGAGATGCGTAATGTTATGTTCAATCTAGGCGAACGATGCACTGACGAGGAGTTCAATGATATGATGAAGGAAATCGATGCCGACAACGATGGCAAAATCACCTTTCAAGATTTTGTTAATGGCGTTAAGAACTAACAGCAAACATATGCAATTGCTCAGCCTATTAATCAGTTCTCAGCAATATAGTTAAATACACAACTGAACCCTTAACACACTTTAATTGCACACATGGCGAGCCCACTTAACATTTCTAAAGCATTTCATTTGTGTAGCTGCCCCCCAACAAAGCCAGGCCAGGCCGTGACACGCAGCTCCTGCAGGTCGGCAATATAATCTCTTCTATACCCTTTCACAGGGTATTACAACAAGTTGTTAGAGTTCCGCCTGTCGTTGTCCATGCAAATCAGTTCCTAGAGATGCGGACTTGGCGCAAAAATTCGCATTGGATTTGTAGCCGGATCGGACAACTCAATATCATATATATACCATATATTTATGTTTTCCAAGGTATCTTCGATAGGAAAAATTGCTTTACATTTCGTTTTTTTCCAGGGGAACACGTAGTAATGTTCGCCATGCTGAACAGTGTACTATCCATATTTATTTAATTTCTTTTTTTTTTTTTGCCATCCTGTGCTGCACGTGAACAACAAATTCAATGTGGAATTTCGTTTGGTTTGGTCGCGCGTGACTCGAAATGTCCGCATGTGCCTAATGGCGCCCTCGGAGCAGGGGCAAGGCGCCATTACACACAAGCACACGCACGAGACCAACTTTATGCAGCAATTGTACATTCCTGATTACGATCATAAATTTAATATTTGAAACAAAGAACAAGAGCTTGGTGCTGCGCATTGTTTTAAAAACGCAGCTCAGGTCATCTAAGGCTCAAGGCGAATGCAAAAACTAGCAGGTCTTTAATATACTCTACTCGGTGACTGCGACTGGCAGCCATACTATACTCAGAGGCTCCACTTGGTAATAGTTGGCACAGTCATTTCTACCCTCACAAATGCAAAGTACTGAATACAGGGCATCTACTAGTCGGGCATTTTTGTTGTCAGAGAAACTCTTTTGTCTTCTGCTTAGTTTGTCACCTTGAAACTTTCGTATGCACTTTGAAGCTAGGCCAGTCGGCTGTGTGGCTCGTCTAGGTCATCGAATGCTCATTTGTGCTATATTATATTCAATTATTAAACAATATCGAGCGTGCTATATGAAAAAGGTCGTGTCGCGGGCGAGCTGTGCTGTATATGTAAACTAAGTAGACGGCACATTTCACTGCGAACCCTGCAATTAATTGATGTCAG